CTGCCAATTCAACCAAATGTGGGTGGAAAATGTTTGGGGAAAAATTAGGTCTGTACTGAACATGTACAGTTTTTCTCTTGTCCTAACTCCCTAAACAATACAGTAGTAACGAGTACATACATGGCATTTTCATTATTTTAGGTATTATAAATCATCTAGAGATGATTGAAAGCACAAGGGAGGGTGTGCAGAGTTTCTGTGCAAATGCTACATTGTTTTGAAGAAAGATGGCGGTGTCCACTAGGGTCCTGATACCAGTCCCCCGTGGATAACAGGGCAGGATTACATAAGCAACACACATTTCGTCACTCAAGATCCCAGTAATAATTGAGTCCTGGATGCTTGAACACTTGACAGAGCACTTCCTTGACTTCTTGGGGTACCCCACACCCACAATCGTGACTCACAAAACATGGCCACATGTTCTGAAGTGCTGCTTCCCCAGCAGTCCACCCCCTCCAGCACAGCTTCTCCTGTCATGACAGTGCTCTCCAGTCCTTCTCTCTGCCCCTTCACTGGGGAGCCTCCTCAGGATCCCAAGGGCACATGAACCCTGTGGGGTCAGAGAACGCGAATGGCAGTCTGCCTTCTTGGAACAGGCAAAGAACAAAACAAGGCAAGAACAAAAACACAAATCAATATTTCAATAAATTATCCTGCCGCAACAGCAAAATCACTGTGGCTGCCAAGGGGGGCTGAGAGCCTGGACTGACTCTTAGAAGCCCAGCATCTGGGAGGAAGGAGATCAGCCAGTGTCACGTGCAGTCTGAGAGAGTATAGTGGAAGGGCTGTCCGCTGACGAGACTATATCCTTCCAGGGTTCTCAAACTGGTGACCTGGAGGGGCTGGATTTTTGTCCTGTCCACAGAACCTATTTCATTTGCATCAACATTTACTATTAGGTTTGCATCTTTGTAAAATCTGGATTTAATGACCTGAGACATCTAGTCTAGCAACCCCAGGCCCACTGTTCCTGCATGCCAACCATAGGCTGGCACTCAGTGGACGTGGTCCCTCAAGCTGTGCCTAGGATCCTTAGTTTGTTGCAGTCCTCACTGCTCCTTAATGCCCCCACTTAACCCCTCTCCAGTGACTCCATGCCCTAGCGCGATAATCTCTGCTTAACGTAGGCTGGACTGAAATTGGGTTGTTGGTAGACTGTGGCTGTCTTGGATGTGCGCCCTCTTGCCGTCTCTTGGGTCAGTCATACTGCAGGAAACAAGCTGCTTCTGTGTGTGAGCTGCCCTGTGGAAAGACGCCCACCCCCAGCCTGCTGAGGGGCCCTTAGTCCAACAGCTGACAAGGAACTGGGTCTTGCCCATGATTAAGAAGCAAGCTTGGCTGCTGAACCACCCCCAGTGGAGCCTTCAGATGAGACCACAGCCCCACACTCAGCTTGCTGGCAAATATGAGAGTTCTGAGCCCAAAGAACCCAGCTAGGTTACTTTTATATTCTTGACCCACAGAAACCATCAGACGATGAACACTGGGTTTTCTTAAGGCAGTTATGTTTGGGGATAGTTTGTTGTATAGCAACAGGTAACAAACAGGCCCATGGTAGGCAGGCTTCAGGCCTGGATAACTCCATCCCAGGGCCCCACTCTGCTCTGTTGTCTTCATCCTCAGGTGGGGGTCTCCTGTGGTGACAGCTCCAGGCTCACCATCTCATACCTTACTTCCCTTTGCTTGAGTATTCACCCCTGAACTATACAGTGACCAGAAAGATATGACGCTGGCATTGGCGAGGCCTAGGCCCTCCCACCCCCCAAGTGTGCAATCTGACTTAGATTAAAAGAAGGGAAGTACTTTATATGTACATATGAAAATAGAACAATGAAACCCCTTAAAGTTGTAAAGAGAAAAAGAGAGAGGGAAAGAGAGAGAGGGAATAAGAAAGAATAACAGAGGGGATAATGTGATCAAGGCGTATTATTTGTATGTATGAACATCTCACAATGAATTCCCTTTGTATAATTAGTATACACTAAAAATGAAAATGAACAAGTATATTTTGCCAAAGGGGAGTTTCCCTTTGGCTGCTGTTGTGGAAAGAGGGCAGGGCAAAGTGAGTGCAGCCCAATAGGACACAGAACAGACCATACTAGGATTGTTTGTCCTGCTACTGGAAACTTCAGACCCTGAGGGCAGACAGGCCTATCACAGGACACAATCTCCCAGCATCTGAGCTGGGTAACCATGGTCCCTTTCCCTGGAGGTGGGCTATCGAGGCTGTAGATCTGCGTCATGGGCATGATGCTGTTCAGTGGGGCTCTGCAGCTGTCCTAGAAAAGTGATCACGGATGACCCTTGTGCTGACCCTTGTATTTGGACCTGGGCAGCCCATCTTCAGCTCAGGGGCTTACAACCAAATCAAACCCATCTGAGAGGGTTCCCAACCATGCCACCCACAGCTGAAGACAGTGAGAAAGAAGGTCCTGTCAATTCCTTCCTCAGAGCTGTGACCATTCAAAGTTACCTGGAGATAGGGCCACCTGGCAGGGACTCAGGATGAGCTGTGAGGATCTGGTTTGGATGTGATACAAATGCCCATGCTCTCGCTCCGCTCCTCCTGTGTCAGTGAGAGTGAGTAGGATTATGTTGCAGAGACAAGCTCCATTGTCCAGTGGCTGAAAACAACAAAGGCTGGCTTCCAGCTCATGCACTATGTTGGTTGTAAGTTGGCAGAAGATTCTGGTCGCATTGTCACTCACGGCCTGGGTATGGCAGCATAGTCACTATTTTAATGTTGCAGGATCATGTGGCAGACGGGAGAGATCTCTGGAGGGTCTCAATTGGCAATTAAGTGCTCCAACCAAGGGCCAGATGTGGTGGTGTGTGTCTGTAATCCCAGCTACTTGGGAGGCAAAGGTTACAGTCTGAGGCCACAGAGACAAAAGAAGGAGACACTGTCAAAAATAAACTAAAAGCACAAAGGGCTGGGGGCATGACTCAAGTGGTAGAAAACCTATCTAGCAAGGAAGAGGCCCTGAGTTCAATTCTCAGTACTGGAAAAAAATGTTCCAACCAAGTAGAGACTCACTTCACTTTTGTTAGCAGTTCATTGGCCAGGGCCAGTCCCGTGTTTCTCCCAATCACGAGGGGGCAAGAAGTGCACTGCCCCTTGCTCTCCTCCAGCTTCCCGTGGGCTTCCATTTCTGTTCCAGTGAGCAGCAGGTCTGGGTTCCAAGTCTCACCCTGCTTTCTTACTTACCTCATTAGAACTCATTGACCTCAGAAGCAGGAGGCAAAGTCTTCACAGTTGTTTTTGTGCTGGGAACTCAAGAACTATTCTGCCACCTTGTCATTAAACACGAGAGCCCTGGTAATGACTTGTCTTCCTTGGCCTTGAATCTTTCATTCTCCTTCTGAAACTCCCCCACACCTACACCTGGAAGTTTGTACACACCCATAAACTTGTGGCATCCGTTTGTCCCTCAGTATCCTGGGGGATCAGTCCTAGATCCTCAAGACACCAAATCAGTGGCTGCTCAAGTCCCTGATATAAAATGGCACTGTATTTGCATAGAACCTAAATACATCCTCCTGTGCACTGGACTTTAAATCACATCTAGGCTCGGCACCCATGGCTCACACCTGTAATCCTAGCTACTTGGGAGGTAGAGATCAGGAGGGTCATGGTTGAAGCCAGCCTGGGCAAATAGTTTGTGAGGCCCTATCTCAAAAAAAATACAAAACAGTTGGCAGAGTGGCTCAAGTGGTAGAATGCCTGCCTAACATACGTGAGGCCCTGAGTTCAAAACCCAGTACTGCCAAAAAGAAAAATTCCCATCTAGATGACTTACAATACCTAACACAGTGTGAATGCTTTATTTGTGGAGGCAGTTTAGGGCAGTGGGCTGAATATACATTTAGGGTTTAGGTGTCCTGTGTTCAAGTCCAATTTCTCTACCTGCTCATTGTGTGCCCTGACGCAAGCTACTTAACGTCTCTGAACCTGTTTCCATCTCACAAAGTGGTATGAGGACCAAAATGAAACATAAGCCAGTGCAGTGTTGCAAAATGAGTGTACCCTCGGCAGCCTTGGCTATCAGGTGTGAGTCATGATATAAAATGGAATGTGAAACCAGGCACAGTGGCTCACACCTATAACTCCAGCTACTCCAGAGATGGAGATGGGCTGATTACAGTTAAAGACCAGCCCAGGAAAAAAAGTTAGCAAGACCCACATCTCAAGAAATAAACCAGGCCTAGTGGTTCATATCTATAATCCAAGCTACATGGGAGGCATAGATAGGAGGATCAAGGTCTAAGGCTGATCCATGGCAAAAACATGAGACACTGTCATAAAAATCACTAAAGCAAAAATGGGCTGTGGTCTGACTTAAGGCTCTGAGTTCAAACTCCAGTACTATCAGCACTACCAAAAAAAAAAAAATGTGACTATTCCCAGTGCCTCCTAACCATGGTCCCTGTGGGAATGATATGTTTACTCCCTGTTCTGTTCTTTACACGACTCCTGTGCTACCTCAGTTGCATTTTTTTTCCTCCGCTTTGTTGTGTTTCATAAGTACCTTCAAACAGTTGGAAAGCATAGGTTATCCTCCCCTGCCATGTTGGGATTTCCATCTCCCCTGCCCTGGACCCTTCTAGAACTGTGAGTATTTTGGGGTGAGGTCTATATACCGCGTTTGCCTCCTGATCAGAAGCTGCCCAGAGGAGGTGCCTAGTAGAGTGCAGAGACCCTGGAGATGCAGCAGGGCAGGTAGACTGTGTGAGCCCTGGGTGATCTCACAGCTCTGTTTCCATGTCTTCTCTGAAAACCATGTGTGTCTTTGTGAGGAACTTATGCAGGTGAGGGCGACTGGGAACCTTTTCTTCCATTCAGAAGAATGGAGCCATGTGGGAGACAAGTCCTGAGAGTGACTGGACAGGTGGCTTCATGCTACAGAGCCAGATCTGTCAACACTGCAGGCTGCTCAGCCCCCAAACAGTCTGCCAGACACCCACCCCTCTCCTCCTTCTCTCCCTACCCCCTGCAGTCCACCAGCCTCATCGAGATTGGGAACCCCTCTCAGAGCCTGGAGAATGTCTGTCGCTGGGCCTATCTGCAGCAGAAGCCAGACACCGGCCATGATGAGTACCACGACCACGCCATCTTCCTCACAAGGCAGGACTTTGGGCCTTCAGGCATGCAAGGTGAGCCTCGCCTACAGGGACTCGGGGCTGAGCTAGTGACCATTCAAAGGAAGAGTCAGCAGGGGGCACTGAGGCCACCTTGGGGGTGGTGTGATGGTTTAGGTTGGTACTAGTGACCTCCTGGCTCTGGAAATCCATCAGGGCCTGTGCTGTTTCCTCCAAGAGCGGGGGAAGGTCAGAAGTGGTCAGACAAACAGAGACTGAATCTGGAAGGGCAAAGGCTAGATGGTGTCTGAGTCTGGGTTTCAGAGTAATTGGCTTCCTCAGGTTCTAGAAAACAACTTTGAATCAATTGCCAACCTCTAAAGCACTTAGAGCTCTTCCCTGACCATGCTGGAAAAGAAAGATGAGAAATTTTAAATGCTTAGCAATTAACCAGTACACTTATAAATAATCAACTGGTCAAAGATGAAATAACAGAAAAAAATTCGAATATATTTTTAAACTGAATCATAATGATGATATCAAAACTGGAACATGTAGCTAATGTAATGAGTAGATAAGTATAGCCTTCTGTGCATTCGTTAGGAAAGAAGGTTGAAAAGTCAATCATATATGCATATGTCTCACGAAATTTGCCAAAGAACAACAAACTAAATCCAACAAAACTAGAAGGAAAGATATTAAAAGTTAAGAGCAGGATTGTTACAATGGAGAACAATTACAATAAAGAAACGTAACAGAACCAAAAATTCAATTCCTTGAAAAACCCCTAGCAATGCTAATTTTAAAAAAGAAAGAAAATGCAAATTTGCAAAGATGAGGAATGCAAAGGGGACATCCTACAGAGTTTTTAAAAGATAGTAAGAAGATATTTTGAATAGCTTTATGTCAATTAATTAATTTGTCAATTTAGATGAAAGGTACAGATCCTTGGAGAGATATAAATTGAGCTGGGAAAATAATAGAAAGCCTGAATATTCTCATCTATTAAAAATTAAATTTATAATTTAAAGCCTTTCTTTAAGGTAAACGCCAGAGCTTGATAGCTTTACCAGGTAATTTTTCCTAATGTTTAAGGAAGAATAACACCAGTCATATACAAACTTTCAGAGAATGAAAATAGAAGGAACATATTCCACCTAATTTTATGAGACTTATCTAAGTTTGATAGCAAAATCTGAGAAAAAATTACAAGGAAGAATTTCCCAAAGCAAGGTATTAGAAAGTCAAATCTGGAGCCAGATTTGTTTAAAGGTACTGTATCACAATGAATTTAAATTTATTCTAGAAATACAGAATTGTTTAACAATGGACAATCAACTATTTTAATTCATCACATCAACAGAATAAAGGAGAACACCATATGATCATCTCAGTTGATCCAGAAAAAGTATTTAACAAAAATTAAGATCCATTTATAATAAAAACATTCTTTGGAACTAGGAGTAGAATAAACTTTTCTAATATGGTAAAGATGTTTACAAAGAACCAAGAACACTTCTATTCAACATTGCAGTGGAGATCCTAACCAGTGAAATAAGGCAAGAAAAAGAAATAAAAATATAAGAATCAAACAGGAAGAAATGAAACTCTTGTTTAAAGATGGTATGCTTGCATTCATAAATAAATACAAAAGAATCTATGAGTAAGTAATTAAAATTACTGGAGATGATATTAATATTAAAAAACATCAATTGAATTTCTGTATTCTAATAACTAGAATACTAGTTTTTAGAAGCTAAAATGTAAAAGCAAGTTTCATTTACAACAGAAGACACATAGGAACAAGTCAAAAAAGTATGTCTAAGGCCTAGACCAAAAAGCTATAAAAAATTTTTGAAAGAAATCATAAAAGATCAAATAAAGGAAGGGATATGCCATGGTATAGAGAGGAATATTCACTGTCATAAAGCTGAAAGTTTTCTCCCATTGTGTATATGGTCAATGCCAATGAGCTCCAAAGTAAGTTCAGCTCCAAAAGAATATTTAGAATATTAGAACTAGACTGATTCTGATGTTTATGCAAAAAAGCAATGGGCTAAAAACAGCCACAGATAATTGAAAAAATAGCAAAGTATTCAGTACTTATAAATAAGTAATGAAGAGTATGATTTGGGGTGAGGGTTCACAAGTACATCATTAGAACAGAATACAGAGTCCAGAATTCAACCTGAGAGGTGGCAGACAAGGCCCAGAAGGTGACACCTGGACCAGGAAATTGATATCAGCTGCAGTGTGGACTTTGACAGGCAGGGTGGCCACAGAACTTAAAAGGTGATGACTGTGGGCCTACTGCCAGGGGAGGCATCTTCTAAGCTGTACCAGCAGGGGGCGCTTTGCCCTGCTCATTTGTTCCAGAGACTGCATCCTGGAAAAGCAGCATGGTGGGGAGGGGTTACCCTGCTTGGGCTCTTGCAGCATCTGTGGTCTGGGAGCAGGAGTCACTTTTTGTCTCCTCCTAGGCTATGCTCCTGTCACTGGGATGTGCCACCCTGTCCGCAGCTGCACCCTGAACCATGAGGATGGCTTCTCGTCAGCGTTTGTGGTGGCCCATGAGACTGGCCATGTGTAAGTAGCCTGGCCATTCTTGTCTGAGGAAGATTGGGGCTTAGAGAGGCCACCCCTAAGATCCTCTGCCCTTGGCTGCCCCCTTCTCCTCTGTGCCCTGAGAGGGACAGCCATGCATGAAAACCAGTTGTCCATCATGTCCACTGCCTCCAGTGTTTTCATCCAGCAGTGGCCCTCCTTGGGGACAGGATTCCTGAGAGAGGGAGCTAAATGGCTCCTCCCCAGCAGGCCTCTGACTTTAGGAATCCAGCGGCTGGAGCATGGGCACCACCTGGCTTGTCGTGTTGGGTGGGAAGGAGGCGGCAAGTCAGCACAGCTGGGTGAGGGTCCAGCCAGGCTCCCTTGCTCCCTGCACAGGTTAGGCATGGAACACGATGGGCAGGGCAACCGCTGCGGTGATGAAGTACGGCTGGGCAGCATCATGGCGCCACTGGTGCAGGCTGCCTTCCACCGCTTCCACTGGTCCCGCTGCAGCCAGCAGGAGCTCAGCCGATACCTGCAGTGAGTACCTCCCTGCTGTTCCCCAGGTGACTCCTCAGTCTCCAAGCTCAGCTCAAGCACCCGCTGTGCCTGGATCCAGCCCTCACTCCCTGAGTCCTCTGGCTGAAGTGCAGGGGACGAGTGGTGGGGTGGACATCCATTGTTGGGGACCCAGCCTTGACTGCCAAGTGGCCAGGTCTTGGTCTCTCATACCAAAGAACAACAGTGCAGCAGGGAAACTGAGGCAATACAGCCAGGTACTGTCCAGCCCACCATGACAGCTCTAGAAGGGACCTCAGTTGCCTCCTGGGCTGGATGGCCATCCCCACCAAAGGCTGCTTGTGGCACCTATGTGTCCCCTCACAGCTCCTATGACTGCCTGCGGGACGATCCCTTCGCCCACGAATGGCCGGCGCTGCCCCAGCTCCCAGGGCTGCACTATTCCATGAATGAGCAGTGCCGCTTCGACTTTGGCCTTGGCTACATGATGTGCACCGCGGTGAGTGCAGGGAGACAGCGGGTGTCCCCAGGGCCCTGCAGTGACGGCCCTTCACGCGCCAGCCTCCTGCTTGGGTCAAAGGGATGCCCACCAGGTTCTTCTGCCAGGCACATGGGCTTCCAGCCATTTGTCCAGGCTTTAGTAGGTGTGCAGCCCCCACACTGGAGGCTGGGAAGGCCCAGCCATGTGCAGGAACACGGGGATGCTTCAGCACCCGCACTGTATGCACACGGCACTCACAACCCAGAATCATGCACTCACAGCACATAAGTCACAAGCTAGTTCCAACGGGGCATCCCAAGGTATAGAACTGGTGGGGGAGCAACACAGCAACTAAGAGACAGCATAGATAAATGGGACCTCATAAAGCTAAAAAGCTTCTGTTCAACAAAAGAAATGGTCTCTAAACTGAAGAGAACACCCACAGAGTGGGAGAAAATATTTGCCAGCTACACATCAGACAAAGGACTGATAACCAGAATATATAGGGAACTTAAAAAACTAAATTCTCCCAAAACTAATGAACCAATAAAGAAATGGGCAAGTGAACTAAACAGAACTTTCTCAAAAGAAGAAATTCAAATGGCCAAAAAACAAATGAAAATATGCTCACCATCTCTAGCAATAAAGGAAATGTAAATTAAAACCACACTAAGATTCCACCTCACCCCTGTTAGAATAGCCATCATCAGCAACACCACCAACAACAGGGGTTGGCAAGAATGCGGGGAAAAAGGAACCCTTTTACAGTGTTGGTGGGATTGTAAACTAGTACAACCACTCTGGAAAAAAATTTGGAGGCTACTTAAAAAGCTAGACATTGATCTACCATTTGATCCAGCAATACCACTCTTGGGGATATACCCAAAAGACTGTGACACAGGTTACTCCAGAGGCACCTGCACACCCATGTTTATTGCGGCACTATTCACAATAGCCAAGTTATGGAAACAACCAAGATGCCCCACCACTGACAAATGGATTAAGAAAATGTGGTATCTGTACACAATGGAATTTTATGCAGCCATGAGGAAGAACGAAATGTTATCATTCACCGGTAAATGGATGGAATTGGAGAACATCATTCTGAGTGAGGTTAGCCTGGCCCAAAAGACCAAAAATCGTATGTTCTCCCTCATATGTGGACATTAGATCAAGGGCAAACACAACAATGGGATTGGACTTTGAGCACATGGTAAAAGCGAGAGCACACAAGGGAGGGGTGAGGATAGGTAAGACACCTAAAAAACTAGCTAGCATTTGTTGCCCTTAACGCAGAGAAACTAAAGCAGATACCTTAAAAGAAACAGAAACCAATAGGAAAAGGGGACCAGGAACTAGAGAAAAGGTTAGATCAAAAAGAATTAACCTAGAAGGTAACACACACGCACAGGAAATCAATGTGAATCAATGCCCTGTATAGCTATCCTTATCTCAACCAGCAAAAACCCTTGTTCCTTCCTATTATTGCTTATACTCTCTCTACAACAAAATTAGAAATAAGGGCAAAATAGTTTCTGCTGGGTATTGAGGGGGTGGGGGGGGAGAGGGAGGGGACAGAGTGGGTGGTAAGGGAGGGGGTGGGGGCAGGGGGGAGAAATGACCCGAGCCTTGTATGCACATATGAATAATAAAATAATAAAATAAAAATAAAAAAAAGAACTGGTGGGGGGAGAGTGAGTTCCTGGATGGTCTCCCACAGGGGGAGGTAGCCTGGTGAACTATAGGTGCTCTCTTTCCAGTTCCGGACCTTTGACCCCTGCAAACAGCTGTGGTGCAGCCACCCTGACAACCCCTACTTTTGCAAGACCAAGAAGGGCCCCCACTGGACGGAACCATGTGCGCACCTGGGAAGGTGAGTCAGAACCAAGGGCTCTTGGAGGGTGGAAGTGGAGAAGGCAGGCACTGGCACCACGGGGCACACAGATAGCCAGATATAGGGCCTGCAGTGCCTGCAAGATGAGGCCAGGAACCTTCTCAGGGGACCCCAGTCCCCCCTCTTTTTCCCACTTTCTAATTACTCCGCACACTCCATAAGCCAGAGCTTCCACCACCCTATGCATCCAGAGAAACCTGGCCTCTCAGAGCTCCTCTGTGTGTCCCAAAGCCCCTGCACACTGTGGGTGACTGTGGGTTTTCTGGCCATGAGGCAGCATTGGGTCCCCAAGCCCAGTGTACGGTGTATCCTCTCCTTCCCCAGAGCCTGTGGGTGTCCTTTGTCAGGCCCACCCTGCTGGTAAGTCTGCAGAAGAAGGGCTTTTCCTTCCCTGTTGGCCCAGCCAAAACTGCAGGCTTGATTCTCATTGGTCCAGGTGTAATCACATGTATATTCCTCAGCCAATCACTTGTTAAGGGCCTGGCATATGCAGATGAACCTAAACCTGGATTTCTTTCCCAGTGAAGCCTCACTAGCCATCAGGGGCTATGTGGAGTTGGGGAGTGGGCTCCAGAGCATGTTCCAGGATGTCGGGCTTAAAGGACACCCCCAAATAATCTGGGCCTGTGGTTCCTTAGTGCAGGTCTTTGGCCTAGGAGTAGGCCAGCTGCCTAATTGTAGCTCTTGGTAGAGCTTCTTAAAGATACAGATTTCTAGGCTCAGCCTTAAAGACTTATCTGGTTTAGGGCCCCAGATTCAGTATTTCGCTTTGTTTTGCTTCTGTTTTAACTTATGGTAAAATTCACCATTTTTAACTCACTTTAAATTGCACAGTTCAGGGGTAGTTTAGTACATTCACAGTAAGAGGCAATCATCACCACTATCTGCCTCCAGAACATTTTTACCACCCAAAAAATTAATTCATTAATCAGTCACTCTGCTGTCCCCTCTTTTCCACCACTGTTTTTCTGTCTCTATGGAATTGCCTATCCTGGATTTTGTATACATGGACTCACACATATATGATTCACTTAACACAATGTGTTCAAGGTTCATCCAATTGTAACATGTATCAGTACTTCATCCCTTTCCTTTTTGTGGCTGAATAATACTCCACTGTATGTTTATACCATGTTTCATTTATCCACTTATCCTCTGATTAGACATTTGGGTTTTTTCTGTTTTGGTAACTGTAAGTATTGCTTCTTGAACATTTTTATATAACTGTTTGAAGACTTGGAATTGCTATTTTAAAGAAGTGATTGAACTGTGTGTAAGACTTAATAAACTGTGAGAACTCAGAGGTGAGACGTTGTTAGTAATATACCAGGGCATGTGATGCCAGGTATAGAATACGGATATAGACCTCTTTTCTTTCTCAAACTACGGTGGATAGTCGAAACTGTAAGTGGGGATGTAACGAGGCAAGGGAGTCCAGGAGAGGAGAGAAAAGCATTGGTCCCAGGAAGGATCCTAGTGATGGGCTCACATAGTCAAATGTTTTCATAAACTTCACGAAGTAAGGTGTTTTCACTATCATCAATGAAGGTCACTCCTTTTTTCTCTTCTGTTTCTCCTTGGTACTTTCTTCCATTGGCTGGCAGCAGAGTGGCCATGGAGACCGCAGTTTAGGCAACAGAGGGCTTGGATTTTTTTTTTTTTTCAGTACTGGGGCTTGAACTCAGGGCCTACATCTGGAGCCACTCCACCAGTCCCTTTTTTGTTTTTTTCAAGATCGGGTCTCACGAACTATTTACCTGGGCTGGCTTCGAACTGTGATCCTCCTGATCTCTGTCTCCTGAGTAGCTAGGATTACAGGTGTGAGCCACCAGTGCCTGGCAAGGGCTTGGATTTGAAGTCTATTTATTTACTCAGTATGTTACTTGGAGAGTTAAATTATTGTTCCTGTCCAGGTAGAAGAGTAGTTTCCAAAAATATTCCTCCCAGACTGTGCCAACTCACCCAGTGCCACTGCAGACCACGCACCTGTGTGGCCCATTTTCCTCAATTTTTTGGAGAAGGTGTTCAACTCTACCTGAGGTTGTGATTCCTTCTTTATTTAACATAGTTTTTGTTTTTCCTTTTGGGATTTGTCTTGTAAATGGTGTACTTTAAGCAGTTCCAACATGGATGTGTCTTTAGAAAGGCTAAGTGTCACAGGATGATCCGTTTGTTTAAAAGCTGTCACAGCCTCACGGCATATGTATGACAAAAAGCAATAAGTGGTCTAAAATATCTGTTCAAAGACCAGAAGAGAAATCTGATTTTAAAAAAGTAGATGAAAAATGTGGATAAAGTCTTTTTTTTTTCAGTTCTGGGGCTTGAACTCAGGTCCTACACCTTGTGCCATTCTACCAGCACTTTTTTGTGATGGATTTTTTTCAAGATAGGGTCTCTCGAACTATTTCCCCGGGCTGGATTCAAACCTCTGTCTTCCTGGTCTCTGCCTCCTGAGTAGCTAGGACTACAGGAGTGAGCCACCGGTGCCCAGCTGGATAAAGTCTTAATACACCACATTAGCTGTAATACTGAAAGTTGTTTTGAAATGTTTCAAGAGAGAAATTACAGACTTCTGAATTGTTTATATGTATCTACAGGTACCTTTTTTTACCATTTTAAAATTTATTTTCTAAAGAAAAATAAAGCTCACATAAAGATTAATTGAATCTAAAACTAAACTAATAAGAGTGAATAAAGAAATCAACGGAAATAACTCAGGCTTCAGAAAGTTAATTGTCACAATAATAAAAGCAAAGTTTCAGATCAAACCAAAAGGAGGCACTCGTTAGGAGAAAGATAACCAATCAGAGAAGGAGCGGGCAGGGTCTTTGACCATCTGACAATCCAATTAATTAAGAGCGGTGATTATGACGAGGACATGGGGAAAACATTTAAATGCCTTTCTAATTTGACACGAAACATTGACAACATCAAAAATAATAGGAAGATCAGAATATTGCCCCTACTATAAGGACCTTGATTGTTGCTAATTCAAAGAATATTTTAAAGTCAAACTCTGACCAGCAAAACTTGATATGCTGTGAAATCTACATCAAGGAAGGAAACCAGGTAACACTTTCTACAAATCTGATTTTTCTTCGTGTTCAGATAGCATCAACAATAACTACTTTAAATTAGCAATTAAAAAAAAAGAGCCAGGCATATTGGCTCATGTCTGTAGCTGCGATTCAGCTACTCAGGAGGCAGAGATTGGGAGGATCATGAAGATCGAGGTTTGAAACCAGCCCAGGCCAAAGGTTAGTGAGACCGCAACTCAATCAATGAGCTGGCATTGGTAGTGTGCGCCTGTCATCCCAACTACACAAGATGCTTCAACAGGAGGATCTCGGTCCAGGCCTGCCCAGGCATAAATGCGAGACCCTATTCAAAAAGTAACAAAGGCAAGAAGGACTGAAGTGACTCAATGGTACAATGCCTGCCTGGCACCTATCAGGCCTGACTTCAACCCCCAGTGCCACCAAAAAAAAAGGAAAAGAAAATACTTCCCTTAACACCCTACAGCAAGGACTGACAGACTATAAGAGCCAACTCCATTAGCTGTCTGTTTTGGTTTTCCCCTAACAGCTTTCATTGGCTGTACAACCATCACAACACTCAAATTTTGTAACATTTTTGTCATTCCAAAAAAAAAAAAAAAAAAAAAAGCCCCTGACCTGATGGTAATCACTCCAGTCTTCCTGTTCCTGTCCCAGCCCTAGGCTGTCTTTATAGGTTGCCCTACTCTGTACATTTTATATAAATGGAATTATACAGCGCGTGGCCTTTTGTGCCTGGCTTCCTTCATTTAGCACAATGTTCACTTGGTTCATCCGTGTTATAGCATGTTATCACACTTCATGCCTTCTTGCTGCTGAGTAATGATCTCTGTGTCTTTGTCTTGTTATTCATTCTAGTCGTCAAGTTGTTTGTTGATGGACATGGGTGGTTTCTGCTCGAACATTCACACACACAGTATTGCAGGGATATGTCATTTAGCTTGGACATGTGTCTAGAAGTGGAATTGTTGGGTCCTATGCTAACTGTATGTTTAACGTCTTCCAGAACTTCCAGACTGTTTTCCATAAGACCTTTTCACATTCCAACTAGCAATGTGTTGGTTCCTCTGTCCCTATGTCCTCCCCCAAACCTGTGACCTGTTTCTTCACACATCCCAATGGATGTGAAGTGTTATCTGTTTGGGGCTTTGATTTGTACATCCCTAATTTCCTATAATGTCAGCATCTTTTCTTGTGATCATGGAAGGATTATGTATTTTTTTCTTTTACAAATGTCTATTTATATTCTGGATTTATATCCAAGAATACTTATGAGATACATTAGATTTGTAATTTGCAAATATTTTCTCCCATTCTGTGAATTGTATTTTTACTTTCATGATAGCATCATTTGATACACAAAGGGTTTTAAATTCAGCCCTATTTATCTTTTTTTTTCCCTAAATTTTGGAAATAACTTTTAGATATAACTTTTGGTGTTATATCTAAGAAACCATTGCTGTTAGGTCAAGAAAACTTCCCCTTCCTTTTATTCTGAGAGTTTCAGCTCTCATAGTTAAGCCTGCAGGCCATTTTGAGGTAATTTTTGTGAAAGGTTGAATGTCTGTGGCCCCTCCAAAATCAATGGTACTCTAAAGAAGCAGTAGAAAGAGGTTAGGCTCCCACCCTCACAGATGTAAGTGACCTTTGAAAAAGGCCAGGAGGAACTAGATAGGACGTGTCGTTCCCCCGCTCCGCCTTCTATCCCCACGATCACCTGGAGAAACGCATTCCAGAAGACATAGTAACAAGGTGCCATCTTGGAAGCAGAAAGCCAACCTTCACCAGACACTGAATCTGCTGGCGCCTCGATCATAAACTTCTCAACCTCCAGAACAATGAGACACAACTTTCTCTTATTTACAAATTACCTGGTAGGTGGCATCTTGTTAAAGCAGTTTGAGTTGATCTATTCAGCCTCTCACCAAAAGCATGAGTTAACTGTGGGTGTTTCTTTGATTTCCATGATCACACTGGAAGGTTCTCTTCCATTCCAGGTTTGTTGTGTGTTTACTAGTGAAAGGATGGTTGGATTTTGCCAAACTATTTAACTCTGTCTTTATGCATTTATTTGTTTATTTTGCCATGCTGGGGATTGAACAGGGCCTCAGCATGCTAAGCAAGTGCTTTATTACTGAATGGGTTTTCAAGCCCTGAGATGATCATCTGGCTTCTGTCTTTACTCTGTTAATATGGCACATTACACTGGTTTTCAGGTGCCAGACTACATTTCAGGGACAAAATCACATTTGGTCGTGGTGCACGATCCTTTTAATATGCTTTTGGATTCAGTTTGCTTGTATTTTGTTAAGGATTTTTACATCTCTGTTCATATGAGATACTGGTCTGTAGTTTTCTTATGTTGTCTCTGATTTTGATATTAGTATAATAGTGACCTCATGGAATGAATTGGGGATTATTTTTTGAAGGATTGTATTAATTTTTCTTTAGATGTTTGGTAGAATTTACTAGTGAAACCATCTAGGCCTAGACTTTTGTTTGTGGGAAGTTTTAAAATCATTCAATCTATTTCAGATAGGTCTACTCAGATTTCTCTACCTTCCTTAAATCCACCCTGGTCGTTTGTATCTTTCTAGAAATGTGTCCAATTTTAGCACTGCTTTATCATGGGCTGGCCTTAGCATACCCCCCAAAAAAGAGGCAGGGCCTGGTTGGAGCAAGTAGGTCACTGGGGGTGTCTTTGAAGCATGTATCTTGTTCCCTGGACCCCTCCTCTTGGTCTGTCTCTACTTCCTGGCTGCCATGAGCTGAGCAGCTCTCATCTATTACACCCTTGCCACCATGATTCTGTGCTCACTACAGGCCCATAGCAATGAGCTAGCCAACCATGAACTGAAACCTCTGAGACCATGAGCCAAAATAAATCTTTCCTCCCTTAGATTTTCTCAGGTATTTTGTCATAGCAACAGAAAAGTGACTGACACAGTGAGTCCTTTTTGGTTTTTTTTTTCCTGCATTCGTATTTTGTCTTTATTTTTGACATTTTTGATTTTATCAGATCTCTGGGTGTGGATCTCTGCATTTAGCCTACTTGGAATTGCTTTTCTTGGATGTATAGGTTAATGTTTTTCATTCAATTTCATAAGTTTTTCAGCTGTTACTTTCCAGAATCTTTTGCTCCTTTCTCTGTGTCTTCTCCTTATGATACTTCTCCTGTGCATATTTCAGTGTGATTAATGTTCTTTCATGTTTAACAAAGGCTTTATTAATTTTTCCCCATTCTTCTTTCTCATCTGCCAGTTGCATGGCTTTGATTGATCTATACTCGAGTTCACTGGTTCTCTTCTGCCAGCTCAGATCTACCACTGAGCCCCCGATTGAATTTATTATTTACGTTTTTGTACTATTCAACTTCAGAATTTATAATTCTTTATAATTTCTGTCTCTTTACCAATATCCTCTTATTTGGTGAGACATCATTCTTATCCCCTCCTCTAGTTCTTCAGACATGGTTTCCTGTTGTATGGCTCCTCAGAGGTCACAGCCTTGGGCATATGCATGGTCACTCTGACCACAACTGTCCCACACGATATTCTACTAGGCTGTCTTTGACTATCTTTTCCCCTGTTTTCTCTCTGTTAAGCTTCTGGCTCTTCTACCTCTATTAATTCAGAACCAACTGTCAGCCTTCACTAACTGCTGGCTGATGGTTGTGAAGTTTTGTTTTTGTTTTTGTTTTTTTAGCATTGGGATTGGACACAGGGCCTCACACAGCTACATAAGTGTTCCACTACTGAGCTATACTCTAGTCTCTGCTATTCTGCTTTCTATAATGCCTGGGATATAACTTGCTCTACAGTCTAATCCAATTAAGTTCTGAATCTTTCACAGCATCTTTCAGCCTTACTCAAACTATGGAGAGCTCCTAGTTGTCTTTATCCTTGGTTCTTTGTGTTAAACTTCTACTTGGTTTACCACTTGCTTTGTGGCTCCTGGTATCATGGAACTATTTGCTTACTCCCAAATGCTCACTGCCAAGGTCTCTTCTGTTCTTAGGCATAAACTTTTCCACGTTCTGTTCCAGAGAAAGTCAGTCTAATCAGGGAGAGCTATGGAGCTCTCTGTTTTCTGCCTCTCCCTCTGGGCAGACCACTGTTCCACTGTCCAAGCACCAGGGGCAGGGACAGAGGCCTGCTTCTCCCAGAATAACACTCCTCACCTACAAGCAGGTCACTAGCTGGGAATGACAGCCCCTAGTCTTCTCGGATCACCCCTTTCAGCATAGAACCACTATGCTACAATCTCTGTGCAAGCTGGAGAAGGAGCTATTAGGCTCAATATTTGGCCTGCTGTGCCTGGGACAGAACTTCTGCCCAAAGAGTGTGGACTGGATATGGGAAACGAACCCCAGTCCTCTTGGCCATCCCACTTGGAATAGATTTTCTGCAACCTAGAGTTGGTAGGGATGGGAGATGCCTCTGGCCTGCCTTTCCCAGTGTGAAGCCATAGCCCTAGATCAGGGCTAAGATATATAGGGAGTCCCATCTTCCTAACAGGAAAGCTCCTGTCACACTAAGCAAGGTAAGGAATTAAAAAGAGTTGTGCCTCAAGTGCCATAGCATAGACTTTTGCAATTTTTACCAAGATTTAGTAGATGTTCTTAAATAAATACTTTTTTATTCGTTGTATTTGCTTTAGAACAATTTCCAGAGACTTTAAATGGTTATTTTTTAAAATAATTTTCACAGTTAAATGGATTTTTCTTCTAGTGTCCATTCTAGAAGTTTCCATTTGCTGCCTGTTTTTGTAAATAAAGTTTTATTAGAGCACAGTCATGTCCATTCATTGATGTGCAGTTGCCGACTGCAGTTTTCATGCTCAACAAAGATCATACAGACTGGAGTGTGTGGAATACTTACTGTCTGGCCCTTTGTAGGAAATGTTTGCTAGGGATGACTGTTCTTTCTATTCTCTGTGTGAAGAAAACATTACAAAATTATTGTCATATGAAAAAAAGACCGAAAGCACATGCAAGCAAATTTGTCAGTCAGTTACAAAATCATTGTTCTCTGTTCTGGGTTGGTTGTAGTAATTGTGTTTAAATTGTTTTTAATTTGCGGGAAGGATATATTTTCTCATTCTAAGTCAACAATCCATATTATGCCTACTTTACTGTTTCCAATTTTACGGTCTTCTGAAAGTAGGCTCCTAGATTGAGTAGGCTTCCTCTCCCGGGAAGAAGTGAGAGTGTACGGTTGAATTTAAGTTGTGAAATGTGTTTCCTACATGTTAGTGTTGTAATTACTGTGTTTATGTTTGGTTTTTTTTTTTTTTCCCCTATTTACTGAAATAGATCTTGTATGTGTCTGGAATCTCTAACTTGACGTTCCTGTTGTATATTTATGTGGTCATATGAGGGGACACGGTGTGAGGCAGGCCCTGACTGAGAGGACAGAGCAGGCTGGGCAAGGTGTTGAGGACCGGCAGGAGGCCAGGCTAGTGGGCAGGTAGTGGGGCTGACTCATCCTGCCACTGGCAGGATAGGCCTGTCTTCCTGGAGTGCTCAGAGCTTCTAGGGGCAAGACCCTCCTGTGTTCACAGGGCAGGCCCAAGGCAGATGTCACAGCACTGAGGCTGGGAAGAGTGGGGGGTATCCGAGTGGCCCTGGTGTGAATGGGGATCAAAGGAGTGGCTTTCTGTCTTTTAGCATTGCTTTAAAGGACACTGCATCTGGCTGACACCCGACATCCTCAAACGGGATGGCAACTGGGGTGCCTGGACTCCATTCGGCTCCTGCTCACGCACCTGCGGCACAGGTGTAAAGTTCAGGACCCGCCAGTGTGACAACCCACAGTAAGTTGGCCCAACATTCCTCAGCCTTCCTCCGCAGCCCCTTCACAGCTGGCCCTGTTCTTCAGGGTGCTGGTGGCTGTCGCCTGCCAGTTCTGGAGAGAATGAAAGGGCAAGCCGACCCAACCTCAACTCCCCTACCTGGGAGGATGCTGAGACTCAGGGAGGGCTGTCTCACTGTCTCACTGCACCTAGAAACCTGGTCTCCTGACCCACTGGCCTGGGGCCACACACACCCAGCCTTGTAACCCACTCTGGACACAGACTTTCTCTGTACTTCTTAGGTGAGGACATGAGGGGGAGAAAGTGGGACAGAGATGGAGAAATGGAGGTGTTCCATAGAGGGAGAGATTTCTTGGTTCCCCCAGGATGCCAGGAGAATGAGCAAGGGGTACTTAGCCAAGCAGACATTTGCATTCAGGTGAGAGGCAGGGTCAGTACTTGCCACCCATGCCCAGGTGAGACACAGCCTGCAGAGGCTGCTTGGTGCCAGCCAGACCCCCCCACCCTCAACCATGCTCCTCCTTCCTCCTATACTGGCCCTCTCCCCATCCCATAAATATCCCTCTGGTCCATGCTCCCTTCTCAACCCACAGCCACTTCTTTACTCACACCCCTCCTCCCCTGGATTATTGGTTTACCTCATCCCACCTGAACTCTTTGCCTGAACTCACCTCTGCAGGGAGAGGGAGAATTGTGGGTACATAGATGGTAAATCTACAAATGTCAGCATCACCCAGATCTTACCCTGAGGACCCTGCAGCTGCTTGGACACACGATGAGGCTTTTGTCTTTCTTGTTTTGGCCTGTTCAGTGTTTTAAAGATCTTGATTTACCTGAAATATTGAAAATCTGGAATCTCACATAATAATATAAACAGATTCCCAGCTTCCAAATTGAGCCACACACAGACTGGTAGGCAGGTGTCTGGGTGCGTCTAGACCACGTGGGCTCAGGCCTCTGCAGCAGTCCCCATGCTCGTTTGCTTAGGCTGTTACTTGCTCTGGCCAGACCCGGTTACCATGGAGCCAGAAGGGCTCAGCAGTCACAACTGCAGGGAGAGAGGTTAAGTCTACCTCATGTGGGCAGAGGTATAGAGGTATAGGAGGGGACCTGTGCCCTAGGACCCAGTGGGGGACAGACCTCCATTTAGGAGCACCTGTGTTTGGCCACCCTAGTTGTTCATGGAGCCCTCTCCTCCACTCCAGATACCTCTTCTGCCTAGGGCTCCAGGCTACCATCCTGGCCTGGAGCATTGGCAGAAAGGGGGCACTCTGGCCCCACAAGTTCCCCTGGGAGGTTTTACACTTGCTTTGGGAAGAGATGGACAAGCCGAAGAGTTAGAACCAGAGGAGATCATTGGTGACTTGTCCTGTTCTCCATGAAGTGAAGAACGTGTGGAAGCGCAGCCCACATTCTCTGAGGCCATCCATGACAGAGCATCCACAGAGTCCCAGACACCTGTTGGGACTCATAGCTGGGGATTCTGCTATTTCTGAATGACTTTTGGAGTTCCACACTGTGTGTCAGGCACGGGCGGCCCTGTGTGCCAAGGGCCTGGTGGTAAAGAAGACTCAGTCAGCCTTTGCCACTGGGGTTTGTGGTCTAGTAGGGCAGATCAAATCCAAACACCCAATCAGGCTCTGTGTTCATTTGCAATCCCAGATGTCAGTGCTGGGGGAGGGCTGCATGGGAGCTCCAGGAGGGAAAATATCAACAGCTCCTTCTATTCTTGATGCCTTCAGGCCTGGCTGGCTGGGGAATTGCTGGGCCCTGCTGCCAGGACATAGTTGGGCTGGCTCCCTTTGCTCAGCATACCTGCCCCCAATACCTGAGGCAGGATTCCCCTAAAAATCCCACCTGCAGGCTGGCCTCTTTGTAGAGCCAACAAGCAATGAGACCTTTGCTTTTTCCTTCAGTCCAGCCAATGGGGGCCGCACCTGCTCAGGCCTTGCCTACGACTTCCAGCTCTGCAACCCCCAGGACTGCCCCGACTCCCTGGCCGATTTCCGCGAGGAGCAGTGCAGACAGTGGGACCTGTACTTCGAGCACGGCGATGGCCAGCACCACTGGCTGCCCCACGAGCACCGAGATGGTGAGTCCCTTGTGGGAGGGTGGCCCCCAGGGTGGGACAGGCAGGGGCTTGCATTGTGCCTTAGACCCCTGCCTGGGGCAAGGCCGCAACAACACTTGGGCTGGCAGTTGAGCCCACTCCTGGCCAGTATGGCTGCAGGGACCCACTCCTGGCCTAGGACTCTCCTGGGTTGCAGTCCAGATGCCTAAACACTACTGGGGAGAGGCTGTTGGGCTGGAGGCTGAGGGTGCCAGGCCCCTGCAGGCTCCATCTGGTGGACAGGGCTAAAGTTGCATAGCTGATCAGGTTCATAATGGGAGGATGGGACTGACCTTGCCAAGCATTCAGGTACCCTCTTGACCTTCTTTATTGGGACTCTCAATTACAGTTGTTGAAAGTGGGGCTCGAACTGGTTTAAGCATTCAGAGGCATTTACTTAGTGGTTCTTGGAACTAAAAATGTCTGATAGCTTCAAGAATTAGGAGTGCTTATACAATTGGCCCTGGGTTCCAGGATCTGTTCACCACAGGACACCAAAGTCCACAGATACAATAGTCCTTTATATAAAATGGTGCAGCCTTGGCACATAACCTAGTACGCCCTCCCATATACATTACATCATCTCTTGATGACTTACAATACGTAATTCCATGTAAATGTTGCAAACAGTTATTATACGGTATTGTTTAGGGAATAATGACAAGAAAAAAAATCTGTATGTGTTCAATGCAGATACAGTTGTTTCCAAGTATTTTCAATCCTCGGTTGGTTGAATCTGCAGAGAGACTCAGCCTGTTGGAGCCTGGTACAGAGGCCCAGCTGTATTCCATTTGAGGCCATCTCCCCTCTGATGAGATTTTTAAACATACAATTTCTGTTCTCCTAGACATTGGGTAGGGAAGGGAGACCACATGTGCCATGTGGAGTCACTGCATCATGTGTGTCACACTAGTGGAGCCCCTGCCATATGCCAGAATGTGCCAATGCAGGGCTGAAGGATGACAACACACAAGGAACCTTCCAGAGGGAGCTGCAGCCTGATGACTCCGCATTTTAGTTGCTTCTGATGAATGCTGAGCAGGAAAGGCACCAGGAACCCAAGGCTGAATCTAAGAACGTCTGTTGTATTTGGACCTTAGAGAAAGTTGGCTAAAAGGGCTTCTTAGATGGAGACTTAGCAGATAGCCATTTACCTCAGCAGAGTTAGGATCTCGGGGCAGGCCACAGGGATGTGAAACCAGTTGGGAAAGTTCTTTCTAAGCCTAACAGCACCAGGGTCAAAGGCTCAGAAGACAAAGAGGTAGGACAGAGGTTGCCGTCACCTGCCTCTTTCCCTCTGTGTCTGCTCTGGAGTACAGGCTGCTTTGGGACAAGTGAATTTGAAGAACATTTATAGAACTTTCTTCCCCCAGTAGTGCTTCTCTTGCAAGAAAGCTCCACACTGATGCCCTGCCATTTTCTCTTCCAGCCAAGGAGAGATGCCACTTGTACTGCGAGTCCAAGGAGACAGGGGAGGTGGTGTCCATGAAGCGCATGGTACATGATGGGACGCGCTGCTCCTACAAGGATGCCTTCAGCCTCTGTGTGCGTGGGGACTGCAGGGTGAGTGTGTGAGGCCAGCACGGGCATCTTCTTGGCTTCTGGCTTCCACTCTTGGTAAGATGAAGTGAGGTTAAGCACAGACAATGCAGAGCAAGGCAGGCTCTCCCCTTTCCCATGCCCGGGTCTCAGTCCCCCAGAGGATTCATCTCCATTTAGACCTCCCGATTCCACGGACAAGGGGGTGGACTGGGAGCACAAATTTTTACAAGCTTCCCAGGTGATTCCAATGTACGAGATCCACAGGGGACCCCCAGGAAATGTGACCAACCCTCACCCTCCCCAGAATACTGGGCGACCTACCCCTGGGATCATGGCAGCCCACTATGGTCTCACTGATTTGGTGCTTTGCAGCAATCCACTGCTGTGTTTCCTTGATTATTGCAGAAGTTTCTCGACTTACTATGTACTTGATTCCCAATGTGAGTGCAGTTAGCCTCACGTTAACTGCATTGAACCCACCTAGCCTGCTGACCATCCTAGCCTAGAAACCCAGTGTCATCTGTTGTGTGATCCCGTGACTGGTTGGGAGCTGCTACTGCCTGGTATCCCTGGAGCCTCACATCCCCTTCCTTAGCCAGGAGAAGATCCAAATTCAAAATTGGGAATGCAGGTTCCACTGAGTGTGTATTGCTTTCACACCACCATAAAGTTGATAGAAAAGTCAAACCATCTTTAGTTGGGGACCATCTGTACATCCTTGGCTTCTATTTTAGCCTGTCAAAACAAACAAACAAACAAACAATGAAACAATGGGTAGCCTGTGTGTGCAGTGGTAACATGAGTACCACCTGCTTACTCAGACCCCCTGGAAGCTGTTGGAGCTTCAGTACACAGGACTGATCGTAGGTGTCACCAGCCTGACTTGTCTTTCCTTCCTGAGAGAGGCTCTGGCAGAAAACCTGCTGGATGCCAAAGGCAGCCCTGGAAGGCTGGGGCAAGGGTGGTGGAACACTGGACACAGGCAGCTAGGAGCAAGCAAAAATGCTGTCCTCCACTCAAGAGGGAGTAGTGGGACCACAGGTGGCAGAAGCTGGTTCAGCTGGAGCCTGGCAGGTAAGCCCAGCCACACAGCTGCTCAGAGACAAACTCAGGCAGCATCTCCTTTGTACCTACAAGATTCTGGCTTACAGAGGATCTGAGAGTGCTACTGAGAGAAGAATTTATTCCTTACATTTCTCAAGGGAAGGGCATATGTACCAGGCAGGGCCCTCTGGGGAGTAGCAGCTTGGTCAGGAGGCAGAAGCTGGCAGGAAGGGAAGCCTGGGCCAGAGCCTTTTCTGGGGTTTCCTTCAGAAAAATAAGCAACACTAACAGCTTAGGCACCGCTCCTTTGAACAACTCAGGCTCTGGGCTATCGGGTGGACTCCCGTTATCTGGTGCAAGGTAAAGGAAATATTAGAGTAGTGTGAAGGGGTGAGGGGGTTGGGTGTAGACTTAGAACTGACTAGGTGCATGTGGAAGATGTGTTCTCAGCCAGGCCCTCTGCTGGCTTTAAAAATTGGATGGCCTTAGAGGGGCAGCTTCTCCAAGCCAGGAAGATTTTTAAGATGTCAAGCATCATAACTTATAGGGAAAACGTTTAAAAGACATAATTAGGAAAGCATGGGAAACATTTCCTAGTGGAAATAGCTTTAGGAGCAGATAACCTAAGGGGGATATCAGAGCACTGACTCAACACCCTACAGGGCCTGGTCATAACTGCACTCCTGATATTGATAATTAAAGCATAGATTAGATATTTTATGTGTTAATGGTGATTTTGATGGAGAAGAGCAGGGTGCTAGAATTTGCATGTGTGCACACATACATATAATTATATTGCGAAAGAAGACAGGAAGGAAATGGGAATAAGATGGAATCTATCAGTTCTGACAGGACTTTCAATGTGAAGCAACTCTTTAGAAGAATCTAATACTGGTAGAAAAGAAATTAATAATACCCAAATGGATACTGTCAATCAGAAATCAAAGCACAGTGACTCAGGAAGGTTACAAGCAAAATGACAAGAAAGATAGGTCAGGAGAACAAGGCACCACACACATGTGCACGCACACACACACGAAATCACAAGAGAATTGAGCATTAAGTGAGGCCAGTAGGGTCATTTTGATTTAAAGAAGGGCACAATCACCACCTTGATCAAGAAATAACATGCCTTCAAATGTGTCACCTAAAAACTGCTAAAAGAGAGAAATTGACCAGGTGCAGATAGGGAGGATGGAGGCTCAAGACCAGCCAGGTAAAAAGTTGGCAAGACCCAATGTCAATAAATAAGATGGGTGTGGTAGTATGTGCCTGTATTCTGAACTATGAGGGAGGCACAGAAAGGAGGATTGCAGTCAGAGGCTGGTCCTAGGCAAAAAAGAAGAGACCCTACCAGAAAAATAACTAAAACACAAAAGGACTGTGGAGGGGGGCATGGCTCAAATGATAGAGCACTTGCCTAGCATGTGTCAGGTCCTGGGTTCAATCTTTAGTACTGCAAGTTTAAAAAAAAAAAAAAAGATGTTCATTTAGCTTACAGTTTTGGAGGCTGGAAATCCAACATTAGGTGACTCCATTGGTTTGGCCTCAAATGAGGGTCCCCTTAGCTGGGTCACAACATGGGTGAGCAGCAAAAAGGGAAACCACTGAGGGCAGAAGGGGGCAAGTACACAAGGTGGCCTCATTTTCTCATTTTCAGCTCTCACACCAATCCATGACCTAAGCACCTTCCACTAGGCCCCATCTCTTAAAGTTTCCACCATCTCACCACACCACAGTGGCGACCAAGCTTCCAGTGCATGAACTTTTTTGGAGGACAACAATGTCCGAACCACAGCCTGGCCATGACCCAGGCAAAAACCACCATGTCTTACCACCCCTCTAGGTGACAGGAAAATGTCTTTTGACTTTGACTCTTAGACACATCCTGATTCCAGAAAATAAAAGATGAGAGCTGGGCGTGGTGGCGTGCTCCCACACCCCCAGCTATGCAGGAGGGCGAGGTAGGAGGATCACAGTCCAAGACTGGCCCAAGCAAAAGTGCAACTCTATGCAAAAAACTAATTAGAAAATGCAAAAGGGCTGCGGGAGTGGCTCAAGTGGTAGAGCACCTGCCTAGCAAGTGTGAGGCCCTGAGTTCAAACCCCACTACTGCAAAAAAGCACAACGAAAATTGTGTGTCAGCATTGAGGAAAAATGGCAACAGGTGACTTTAACATGCTTAAGATCTGACAGATAAAGTCAGTTTTCTCCATTTTCTTTTTTTCTCAGCTTCTGTAGCCCTGAAAACAAAACCTCAGAGCAACTGTTCTGGGGATGCAGCTGTAGCTTCACCTTTTCTTTGTCTCTGTGATCTCTTCTCTTCCAACCAGTTCAATTTCTAATTAGTCCGTTGCTGTAAATGAGCTCCAAGCCTGGTTAGAAAGGGCCTCCAGGAAGAACTCCTAATCCAGAGTCTTGTGATGGACTTGCTTCCATCATATGGGGCTTCAGAGGTGTCCTCAATGCTGTTTGTGTCTCCAGAGCCCGTGTGCACACTAGGGCCCACCTGCTGCTATACCTGCTAAGGATTTTCACTCCTTGCCACTCTGCAGGCAAACCTGAGCACTAAGTCCCCTTAGATGAGAGCTACATCTCCAAGGAGAGTATGCCCAACTTTCCCTCCCTCCCTGCTCTGCCTCCCCTTCCCCTTCCTCTTCTTCCTCAGCATTGTCTCCATCCTTCACTCAGGACAAACTGCTAGGCTGTGTATGAATGCTGTACCATGGTCATCTCTCACCATCGCCACAAGCCTGATAGGCAGGACTGCTCTGATATTATAAAGCGACATCATGTTACTCTGTGTGACATGGTGCAAAATAAACTCTGAGTCTGAGAGGGCACCCTCCAAGACCACAGTCAGGAAGTGACTGCTGTCTGCTTTTAGCTCAGACTTCTGAGCCTTAAAAGACACAGTATATCACGTCCCAGTATACCATGTCTCCTTCCTTTGGTAAAAATCACTCTCTCAGGAGCCATTGAAATAAACATACTTATGCCTTGGTTGTTTTTCTCCCCCTTCTCACTTCCAAAAAAGAGTCAAAACATATGTGGAAACACAGATCAAAAAACCCAAAGATCATGAATTCCTATCCACATATTGAAAAAATGCTGCACGAGCCACCACTCTGTAGCCCTTCCATGGTCCTGAGCCCCTGCCCCAAAGGTCCTTATAAGACAAAACTTAGAAATCAAAGAGTAACTGAAGATGTAGCTCAGTGGTGGGGTGCTTGCCTAGCATGTATGAGGCCCTGGGTTAGATCCCCAGCATGGAAGGAAGGAAGGAAAGAAGGAAGGAAGGCGTGAGGGAGTAAGGGAGGGAAGAATGGAGAGAGGGAAAGAAAAGAAGAAAAGGAGGGAGGGAGGGAAGGAAGGAAGGAAAGAAGAGAAGGAAGAAAGGCGAAACAAGAACAGGAAAGAAGGAAGGGTGAGAGGGAGAGAAAGAAAGAAAAGAGAAGGGAAAGGAAAGAAATGGATCTGTCCAGAGGTGGTGGTGTTTAAAGGAGGAGGGTCCTTAAGGAAGAATTGGCTCAGAGCTTCCTGGTGGCCAGGGTGAGGAGGGAAACCTGTGATGCTATTGTGCACTCTGGAACAGCCATGGGGAGCAGATTAGCTCAGAGCAGAGCTCATAATCTCTGCTGCCCTCTGAGAGAAGTCAGTCTGGGCATCAGTGTGGAAGTGGCCTTCAGCAGGGCAGCGTGATATGCACAGCCTCTGACACTGGAAATGGAGTGCTGCTAGGGTTACAGACAGTAAAAGAACCTGAATACAATATTGTCTCTGCCCTGGGCAAAGGAACATCTCCACTCTGTGCAGAATAATTTTAGTTCCCCGGAGTGATAGTGTTGAGAGGATCAGGTGAGAAAATGAGGGCAAAGGTGTCCCATGCAGCTTCTGCCACTTGCTGCCCCACACCTGAAGGCAGACTTAAAAGGGCATTGTATTCCGAGAGTGAGGGACAAAACAAAAGCAAGGCCAGTGCTAAGCTTTGGATGGAGTCCCCAAGAGGTCACATCTGGGCTTGAGCTCTGTGAATGCTCCTGGAGAAAGAACAGCATGGAGCTCGCTGGAGGCCAGCTGGGCCGTGCCAGGACAGCATTGGGCACATGACCCCATTTGGGTACTGCAGCAGCATTCTGCAGGCCATGCTGTCCAGATGCATAAACTGAGGTATAGTGAAGCAAGGGTCTACCTTGCTTCTTCCACTGTATCAGAAGCTGTTAGAAAGGAGGCACAGACCATGAACTGCAGGAGGTACAGGTGCCAGGGGCCCTGCAGCACACTGGCTCCAGCAAGGAGGAGGTCTCAAGTGCCCCCTGCCCCCCTCTTCCCCTGCAGAAGGTGGGCTGTGATGGGGTGATCGGCTCCAGCAAGCAGGAGGACAAGTGTGGCGTGTGTGGAGGTGACAACACCCACTGCAAAGTGGTCAAGGGCACATTCACTCGCTCGCCCAAAAAGCACGGTGAGTGAGCCCCACCCAGCTACCCGGGCACCTCTGTCCATGCATGTGCAGGCATGGCCTGGCCTGCATCTCCCCTAGGGCTCTGTCTGGGTTCATGACCATTTAGGGCTAGGGTCTGGGAGTCAGGTAAAGGGAAAGTCTTAAATCAAGGCAGCCACAGTGAGTATGGAGGAAGGAAGGAAAAGGAGGGCCCAGGTCACAGAGTCAAGACAAAGAATGCATAGGTTGACCTCACTAGAGGTCAGGAGCCTGTAGAAGGCACCCCTTCTCCAGCCCTCTAGCTGCACAACCCTCCTGCTCCCTCCGTCTCTCCTCCTGCTCATGGCTGGCTAACAGCAGGACTTCCTTGGGCTGGTCAGCACAGACAGTGCCCTGAGGGCCCTGTCAGTTTGTCTCCACAAGCCTAAGGGATGGAGACAGGAAACTGAGTCCATATTTTTTGTTACTGTAACAATATACCTGAGGCTAGGCTCACTTTTAAAGAAATGAGGTTTAAGCTGGGCACAGTGGCTCACACCTGGAACCCCAACTATTTGGGAGGCAGAGATCAGGAGGATCATGGTTTGTGGCCAGTCTGGGCAAAGAGTTCAAGAGACCCCATCTCACCCAATAAAAGTAGGGTGTGATGGTGCACACCTGTCATCCCAGCCATGTGGGAAGCATAAATAGAAGAATCGCAGTTTAGGCCAGCCTGAACATAAATGTGAGATACTATTTGAAAAACATCTAAAGCAAAAAGGGCACCTGCCCAACAAGTGCAAGACCCTAAGTTCAAGCCACCAAAAACAAAGAAAAGAGAGAGACAGAGAGAGGGAGGGAGGAAGAAAGGGAGGGAGATATACCCAAAACCCAGCACTGGGCTCTGGGAAAACAGCCCTGGGCGTGAGCCTCTGTCCTAGGCCATTTGATGTTGCAATAACAAAATACCCAAGACTGGGTACTTCATAAACAAAATGTGTTTGGTTTGTGATTCCAGTGGCTGGAGGGTCCAAGCAACATGGTGCTGGTGTCTAGGCGAGGGCCCCCTGGCTGTGTCACAACATGGTAGAAAAACAGGAAGGGCCACATGTGGAAGGGGCCAAGTACGTGGGAGAACTTTACAGCCCACTCCAGGGAGAACTAAGTAACTCTACAAGACCAAGGGTAGAGCCCCATGACCTAATCGCCTGCCATTTGGCCCCACCTCTTAAAGGTTCCACCTCAACACTACTGCCGTGGGGCCAAGCTTCCCACATGTGAACTTTTTGGGGATTCCCTCAAACCATACGCAAATATAGTAGTCTTAACTCTAAGCTCAGCCAGTCTATCTCTGTTTTGCTTCTTATAGAAGGCTGTGGAGCAAACACCAGGACTTGGCTAGGGCTGGGGTCAGACCAGGCCTTTTAATCAGGTGCCCAGCATTGGCCTCACCACAGTCCAGCCAGGCCACACGGCATACACCAGCCCTCCCTTTTAGACAGGGGTCTTAGATTCCTTTCCTGGCAGGACTGGGAGCTGGATTTCCCGCTGAGTTCTCAGTGGAGGGGGCAGCTGGGAGGATAGCTGGGATTTGAAGGTGAGCAGAAAGGTGGGACAGGAAGCTTCTGCCAGCCCTGGGCTGTGGTCCAGATCAAACCCTGGTTGGCCCCTCTAGGTAGGTGGCCAAAGCCTGGGAAATACAGTAGCGTTGGGAGAGCCTGCAATGGAACCGTCTTCAAAGGCAAAGCCCCTTCTCAGATCATGTGCTTTCAAGTCACCCCTTCCTTTCTCATCTGCCATTTTTTCCACAAAGATTATATCAAGATGTTTGAGATCCCGATGGGAGCCAGACACCTGCTCATCCAGGAGGCAGATGCTACCAGCCACCATCTCTGTGAGTCTTGGAGCCCAGATAACTCAACACCTCCAGACCTGGCTCTTCTGGGATGGGCAGAGTGCCAGGGGTCATAGGCCTGGGTGATGTGGTCAGGACCTGAGCCGGGGCAGCCCTTACTGACAAATAGTCCCAATCCACCTGTCCCTCCACCCTGTCCAACTGGAGGGCCTTTCTTGGGCTCATCTCTGTGCAGAGAGGCCAGGGCGTGGGATCAGAGGGCTCCCTCAGGCAGTGGCTGTGGAGGAACATGTGTCCAGGACAGGCCACGCCCCTCCAGCCTGCACAATGCTGTGAAGCCCCACTGCCCTGGGGAAAGCAGGCAGAGTCTGTGATTAGCAGGCTTCTGGGAGGCACCCCCAACACTCACAGTGACCAGAGGGCACCGAGCCAGCAAATAGATGGGCTCCCATAGTGTTTTACATATTTTCTATTTATTTGTTATCTATTTAATTTATGCTAGGGATCAAACCGAGGGCCTCATGCATGCTAAGCATATGCTCTACCACTGAGCTCCACCCTAGCCCTTTCATTTGAAATTCAAGAGATTCCACCTAACCTAAGGATTTCTGGCATCTCTTGGAAACTGAGATATTCTCACGACTCTACGTGTCCCTTCCCAAGTGGTAGCCTGGGCCCATGAGGTGGTGCTGTCCCAGGATGCCCAGGACCCCTTTTAGGGGCTTCACCTACCTGCTCCTCTACCTCAGGAGGTGTCTGGGTCTTGCTTCCTCAGGAGTTGTGGGGCTGGAGTCACTAGTGATGCCGGGGACCACCAGGAGGACTTTAAATCAGTCCTTTCCCCCAATCATACCTTCATCTCTATCCCCTGGGGCTGGACTGGGTCTGGCACCCCACTGTTGACAAACCTTTCACTCACTTTAGCATTCATATTTTAAAAAGAAACTTGATAGCACCACCCTAAGTGCAAAACCAGTAGCACTTGCCTTAAGTAAAAGGTAAACATTGAAGTCAGTTCCTAAGCAAAAGATGTTTCTGTCCCCACCAAGGTTTCAGATTAATGGGGCATGGCTCAAGTGGTACAGCCATTGCCTAGCACACACAAGGTCCTGAGTTTGACTCCAGTACTGCCCCCAAAAAAGTTTTCAACTAAGGTCTCTGAACCCAAGTGCCACCCTCTCTTCAACAGGCAGCTAGTGCTAGAGAGAGTTAAACACCACAGGCTCTCTTCACAGTGACTTGTGCAGGAAATTATTTTCTTACTTGTGCCATGTCTATGGTCCCCACACAGTCATACAGTTCCACCCCCACCCCCACAATGGCTGCCTTCCATACTACAGGCATTGAGGGACTTCCTGACCAGCCAGGCCCTCCTAGACCATCTGTGGATATCCAGAGGCTTTAGTGGCCCATTCTAGTTGGGACAGGACTCCTTGGAGGATGTAAGTGACACCAGTCACTGATGGTGTGGGGTACCCTGACTTCCCAGCTGAACATGTGCTCACCCAGCTACCACCCCACCCATGTCTTTGTGTCTAGCAGGTGCCCTGCCAATCTGCCTGGAGGCCTCAATATTAGTCAGCTTCATGTTACTATCATAAAATGCCTGAGGCAACTAACTCATAAAGAGAAAAGGTTTCTTTAGCTCATAGTTTTGGAGGTGTAGAGACATGGCTCCTGCATTGGCTCAGTTCTGATGGAGACAGTGCATGATGGCACATTAAGGTAGGAGGGCATGTAGGAGCAAAGCAGTCAGAGCAAGGATGACCAGGGTCCCACCATCTCCTTCAGGGGCCCATCCCTAATGACCTAAGACCTCCACTAGGCCACACCTCCCAAAGGTTATACCACGTCCCAATAGCACCACCCAAGTGACCAAACCTTTGGGGGATATTCACCACCCAACCATAGCAGCCACTGAGAGCTCTGACAGGTGACAGGGAAGTGGCCTTGGCAGCTGTAGAGCTGCTTCTTCAGGGAGTCCCAAGCCCCCAGGACCCAGTGGGCTGACACAGAAAGGACCAATGTGGATGGCAGTCCAGTCCCCATGGAGCAAGCAAGGGCAGAGTATGGCTTCCAGCATGATTTGTGCTATGAGACACAGGGACAGACCCCCAGCAAGTACAGATCAGGGAGACCAAAGGTCCTGCTCCCCACAGTCCTCCAGCCGTCCAAAGCTACAGGTCCTGCCAGCTTCTCCCAAGTGGGCCTGGTCCTGCCTTGAGTGACTGTGGCTGGTTGGAGGCTCCCTTTTCCCATTCTCAGCCGTCAAGAACCTGGAGACAGGCAAGTTCATCTTGAACGAAGAGAACCATGTGGACCCCAATTCTAGATCCTTCATTGCCATGGGCGTGGAGTGGGAGTACAGGAACGAGGATGACAGGGAGACGCTGCAGACCATAGGCCCCCTCCATGGCACCATCACCGTACTGGTGAGTCAAGGGGGGTCTGGGATCACCGCCTCCTTGCTGCTCAGACAGGGGTGCAAGTGGCCCTAGGGAAGTATAGGGGGCTGGGAGCTCTGAGCCTCCCTGTGTTCTTGGGGCCACTCTCCAAACAGCCGCCTTGGCCTGCTCTGGTTTCCAACTCCATGTGAGAGCCAGAAACAGGCCCTGGGACCCTGGGCCATGCACTAGCCCCTGGTGACTTCAGGCAAACTCCACTCTAAGGCTCTCTATTCCTTGTCCAAATGGCACGCACAGCTGCCATCCGTCACGTGCATTTGTGTCTGCTGTCACACTGAAACCCTGCCACGCCCTGGGAAGTGATGGGGACCAGACCCAGGTCATGTTGGATTCTGCGTCCAAGCAGGACTGAACCCCATGTCTGGGTTCAGGACCATAGGCTGCTGCTGGTTATGGGAGTTCCAAGGGGGCTGGATTTTCAAATCACTTTTTACATTTTAATTTTAATTAATTGCATAAGTGGCATATTTTAGATTTTTTTTAAAATCCAAACCCTACAGGTAAGGTTCCAGTCCCCTAAGGTGAGCGTGCTGGGGTCTGGGTGACTACATGGGGGCATGCACCTGGGGAGCAGCCACTGGGGTGACCAGGTTGCTTTACCTACAAGAAGTTGCACTCCTCCTGCACCAACTCGCCACTTCTTAGGCCTTTGGTGACCTACCTGCATCACTGCATATGCATTCGGTCCTCAGAATTCACGGTTTCTGTATTTGTAAATTTGCTTACTCGCTAAAATGTATGTGCAATCCCCAAACGGACATTCGCAGAGCAGTGAAAAGCGAGTCACGTGACAGACATGTTCCCCACTGAGGTGGGACCGCTCTGTGCTCTGTCTTCTTATTTTAGTGCTCATCATGAAAACATGTATCTTTTTTTGCATTCTATTTAGAGTCACATATTTTGTGATTTTTACCTTTTGGGGGAGGTGATTTTGCTATTTAAAATGGCCCCTGAGATATCTAGTGTTTCAAAGCCCAAGAAGACTGTGGAGAAGACCTGTTAGAGAATGACCATCAGATGTGGGTCACTGCGCTGCTGGCCGTGAGTTCAACGTTAATGGGGTGACAATATACATTCTGTCTTTAAACTGACATGCAGATAAAACAAGCTTTATATTTTGATTGGTTGGCAAAAATGTTGTGTCCAGGAGCTCACAGGATCCTTAACTCTGTACAGATGCTCCAACTTACAGGGGTTTCACTCCCATAAACCCATCGTAAATTGAAAACACCATACAAAAATGCACATGCCTGTAATCCCAGCTATGCAGAAGGCATAGGTAGGGGGATCACAGTACAAAGCTGGTGCAAGCTTAAACACAAGACCCTCTCAGAAAAAGTTCTAAAAGCCTAAATACCCTGGGTGTGTGGTTCAAATAGTAGAGCACCTGCCTGGCAAGTTTGAACCCTGAGTTCAAACCCAGTACTGCCAAATAAAAAGCATTGAATTCACCTAACCTGTTGACCATAATAGCTCAACAACACAGCACAGTGCAGAGCTGGTCATTTCCCTCGTGATGGTGGGGCTGACTGGGACCCACAGCTCCCATCATGAGAGAAATCATGTGGCCTATGGTGAGCCCAGAAACAGATCCACGTTCAAAATTCCAAGTGCTTAAAAAGTCTAAGTATTACATCTGTTGAATGTGTGTCAGTTTCACTCATTGTATAAAGTTGAAAAAGCATAAAGCCAGCCATTGTAAGTCAGGGACTGTCTGGATTTCCCTGGGGGTAATGGTTCAGTAATTGGGAATTCAGTGTTTGCCGTGACTTTATAGAACATAACTCCCGTGAATGATGAGAACTGATCACAAGTCTGCCTCAGGCACTCACATTCACAGCCATGTTGGGGTGGGCCTAGGTTATCCCAGAGGGAGATGCCCGGATCTCGCTGACATACAAGTACATGATCCACGAGGACTCACTCAATGTTGACGACAACAATGTCCTCGAAGACGACTCTGTGCGCCATGAGTGGGCCCTGAAGAAGTGGTCTCCCTGCTCCAAGCCCTGTGGCGGAGGTGAGGGTTTTCCCATTGTGGGGTCTCTAAGTTGGATGATAAGAGCAACCACAAGCAGGTGGTGCATCCCTTGGTGTCCTGAAGCACGTGTCCTTCAGGAGGTGGGGACTGGATACACGGTCTCCTGGGCAAGGGGCTTCCTGAGTCAACAGTGCCCTACTGACTGTGGCCTGAGGTTGGTTTGCCTTGGCATGAGCAGGCCCAGGGAGACTGGCCCCAGAGGCTGGAGAGGTCTTAGTAGCCTTGGGTAGACAAGGGAGGGGTCAGAGGGTAGTTGGGAAGAGCATGTGCTTGAGGCATCAGGTCAAAGGTCACCAGAAGAGCCTGTGGGGGATTGATTCCCTCCCTCCCTCTGTTCATCTGGACCTTCATGGGCAGCTCCTCCCTACCCTGGACCTCAGAGTGCATGGTTGAGTAGGACATGGGACCTACAGATGGACAGGGAGCCCTTCTCTGTACAGAGTGGGGGCTGGATGAGATAGGAGCACGTGGTCAATACTGACCACAAGGGATGGGAGGGAATTCCTCCTGGGCAGATGGCATCCCTAGCCTTCTATCGTGCTTCCACTGTCCCCATCTGTACACACCATCTTGGGTATAGTGCTCTTCAGTTCTTCATTGCTATAACAAAATACCAAAGGTAGTTGACTTGTAAAAAAGAAAGGTTATTTTCATTCAGTTTAGGAGAATTCAGTCCATGATCAGTTGGTCCCATTGCTTTGGTCCTATATCAAGGGGTAGGCGCACATGGCAGAGGAACCTGCACCCATCATGGCAACCAGGAAGCAAAGAGACAACAGAGGGCAGGATTCCCACTCTCCCCACTGAGGTCCTAAGACCTCTAGGCCCCACCTCTTAAGGGTTCCACCATCTCCCACTAGCGCCACAGGCTGGGCACCAGGCCTGTCACATGTGGACAGCAGGTGCTTTTTCTGGACACAGTGGCTTCTGCTCAGGCTTCTCCTCACTGTCCCCCCACTGGCTTTCACAGGCCAGAGCCACCTGAGATGTCACCAGGCTGCCTGGTCATGGATGTATTCTCTTGTATATGCTTTGGCATGGTGGAATTTTTGGCTCCATTATTCTCTGTCATGAGGGGCTGTCGTGTGCACTGCAGAATGGAGCAGCAGCTCTGGCCTCTATCCACTAGATGCCCAGCTGTGTCAACTAAGAATGTCCCAGACATAGCATAATGGCCTGGGGAAGACCATCTCCCACACTGAGCACGGCTGCGGGAGACTGTGGTGGAAGGAGCCATGTGGCTGTGCCCCCAGGGTTGACTCATGCCAGGCTCCCTCTGTGGATTACGAAAAGATGGAGCAAATGACTAAGTGATGAAAGGGGAACAGAGACCCCACACACACCAGAAGCCAAGAAGAAGCAGATGAGGGGGGGAAGTGGCCACTCTCTCACCCTCCTGCCCTCCCTCAGCCTGGGGGGCTGGGCAGGCACCATGCTGGATTACCTCCAAGGTTGCCTCCCAGCTCAGGTGCCTTGCTCATCCTCCACACCATTTTAAGAGCAGGGAGGAGAATGGGCCTGGTGCTGCCAGTTGAGCCAACCCCCAAGCCCTCTTAGGGCTCTCAGTACCCCATTGAGCCCCCTCAAGTACTCTGTCTTCAGGGTCCCAGTTCACAAAGTACGGCTGTCGCCGGAAGCTGGACCACAAGATGGTGCACCGAGCCTTCTGCAGTGCCCTCCCGAAGCCTAAGGCCATCCGCCGAGCTTGCAACGCACAGGAGTGCTCCCAGCCTGTGTAAGTGCTGGAGAGGGCCTCCGGCCCAGTGTCCCTCCCACTCAAGGGGAGAGGCCACAGGTGCTCCATGGAGGGAGGGGGGTGGGGTCTGAACCTCCCAGCAGCTCTGGGCCTGGCATCACCTGAGGTATTGGGTGGGTTCTTTCTCATCCACCATGCTTTATGGCACCCAAGAGGCTGCAGGTTGAAAGGTACACACCAGCCTCAGCTTCAGACCTGCTGATGGAAACACTATTGTGCACCATAAAAATGACAGCAAATGGTGATGTTCAGGTGGGGAAACGGAGGCTCAGAGGGTCCAGGGCAGGCAGCAGCTTTGGTCCTCGGGCCCTGGGGTTTGACAGAGCTGCATTTCTAATCCCAAATGCCTTTCAAGGGAAGATGGCTGGTAAACAGACAGGTGGGGGCCGTGCATGACAGGGGCTGAGGGAGTCCACACTGCTCTTGAGGTAGGCGGGAGAGTTTATGACAGTATCAGAAGGTGAGGCTGGGGCAGGGCCAGGAGCCTGGAAAGGGACAGGAGGCTGGCAAAGCCTCTCAGCCTTGAGGTCTTCATGGCCATCTGCCCCATCAGGGTCCCCAAGCAGTGGACATACATGGGATGATCCAAGCCTTAGTTTCCCCTCATGCAAATCTACACAACCAGCACCTTTGTGAGAACAGGAAAGCGTTCACCCAGATAGGGAGCAGACTGACCTCTCTGTGCTCACTGTCCACCTGGGCCACAGGGGGGACCACAGAAGCTCAGCCAGCCTGGTTCTCCATGGCCGCAGGGGACTAATCGTGTGTCACTCTGCCCTGACAGATGGGTCACAGGTGAATGGGAGCCTTGCAGTCAGAGCTGTGGGCGGGCTGGCATGCAGGTGCGCTCCGTGCGCTGCATTCAGCCACTGCACAACAACACCACCCGCTCCGTGCACACCAAACACTGCAACGACAACCGGCCTGAGAGCCGCAGGACCTGCAACCGCGAGCTGTGCCCTGGCCGATGGCGGGCCGGGCCCTGGTCCCAGGTAAGTTCCCCTGTCCCTGTACCCTTGACCCCCATACTTGGTCAAGGTGTTCCACTTTGGACACAGCTCCTGCCCTAAGTCACATCTCATAGATAACCACTGGTCAGTGCCCTGCTGGCAAACACAGTGGTTGTGTCTTCACAGCCCAGGCAAAGGCTCCAGGGTGCCATGGGGATCTGGAATCCTAGGACACTGAGGGCAGCCTGGGACCACAGCACCGTGGGATGTCCAGGGCTCCAGTATTCTAGCAGAGGTCGGGGTGCCAGTAGGAGGCCAGCCAAGATTGCAGGAGGGGAGATGAGCAAGGAGGGGTTTAGATTTGTGCTGGAAAGAATAATGAGGCTGGATGGAAGGGCTAGCAGACAATTCTGTAGGCAGGAGCTGAACACCAACCAAGGCCAGGCCAGAGCTGGCTTCTACACTGGCAGCCAGCTCACAGGCCCTAGTGTGTTGGGGACCCCGAGACCACCCTCAGGCTCAGAGATCCATTAGAAGGACTAGAAGTTGTCTCAGGGCTACCGTTTGTTACAGTGAGAGGATGCAGAGTAGAATCAGCAGGGGCAAAGGTAACTGAGCAAAGTCCAGAGGAAACCAGGTGACAACTTCCAGGTGTCCCTGCCCAGCAGAGTCTCAAGGGATGCACTGAATTCTTCTAGCAACAATTTGTGACAACACATGTGAAATACTGCCTTCCAAGAGCCTGGGTGTCCAGGTCTCTCATCAGTGCCCATGCAACAGACACCAGACCCCAGAGGGAAAGCAGGTATTCAGTATAAGTCACATTGTTGTACGAACTCCCTAAACAAGCTGGCCCAACTTGCCCCAAGGCTTGCAGCATGCAAATGCACCTACTCAGAAGGACCACCAGGGGCAAGCAGTCCTTGGGAATGGGCAGGGTTTGAGCAACCTGAGTCTGCTTAGTCAACTTTTTTGTATCCTCAGGGTGAGGACTCGAGTTATCCTTGGGAAAGGTTAGGCTGAGTGGGGAGCCATGCCAGGGTTCTGAGTGTAACCCCCACCACCCCCAGTATGGGGAAGCCCAAGAGATGCCATGCCATGGTCTGGAGGGTGCTGGTGGTAGAGCCTATGTCCAGAGGAAGATTTTGGGGGAGTGACTGCCAAGACGCCCTGGGATGGTCAGAGACCCAGTCTCAGCAAGTGGCTGGTGGTGTGCACCTGTCATACCAACTACAAGCACAAACAGGAGGATTAGGTCCAGTCCCAGCATAAACAAGACCCTGTCTCAAAAATAACCAATGCAAAAAGGGCTGGCAGGTAGCTCAGAAGAAGCAAGTGTGAGGCCCTGAGTTCAAACTCCAGTACAACCAAAAAACAAAAGTGAGTAGAGACAGGAAGCCAGAGTCAGAACGGGACAGGTCCAGCAGTAACGTCCCACTAGGTTTTCTTTGTTAAAGGTTTGGCCGCACCTTCCATTATGACTATACTGGGGATCAAACTTCCAATACATGATCCTTTGTGGGACACACTCAAGCCACATCCCAACCATAGCAAGAAGGGAGATGCCACTGAGAACCCAGAAGTGCCAGTCCCTGTGTGGCCACTGCATTTTCACATTTTAACTCCAAATAGCTCAGAACGATGGGCACATACAGACTCTGTTTAGAGCCCCAGGATATCAGACAGCCACTGAGATGGGACAGCGCAGCATGTGACTCTCGCTCCACCTCCTACCCCATGCCACCTCCCACGTGTCACAGATCACATGCCTGGGGAAGATGGGCTCCTTCAGCTCTTCCAGATCTGAGGCCCAGCATGGGAGGTGGTCCCTGACTGGCAACATGTCTCCCCTATAGTGCTCGGTAACCTGTGGCAATGGTACCCAGGAGCGGCCAGTGCTCTGCCGCACCGTGGATGACAGCTTTGGTGTCTGCCAGGAGGAGAGACCTGAGACGGCCAGGATCTGCAGGCTTGGCCCCTGTCCCCGTAAGCTTTCCACTGTCCCTCATGCCACCCCTCCCTACTCCCCAGCATGCAGCAGCCCAGGGAGAGGGGAGGTGGGAGTATGGTCAAGCAAATTCTGCTCTTTCCTCAAACTGGCTAAACTGACATCCAGAAGGAGAAGCTAAGCATGACTGACAAGGGCTTGGACTTTCCCTAGCACAAAATAGAGGGAATTGACATTTACTGTGCACAGACCTGGGCCAGGCTGCCTTGCAGACAGGGAAGGTGATGCTGGCACCCTAGCCCTGTCTTCATGGCCCTGGCTTGTTGGTCTGGCTGTGGACTCCAGAGTCACAGTGACCCACCCCACAGCAAGACCCAGCTGATGGGATACCTGGGGCCCAAGGATAAGGGGTGCCTGGTGCCTATGAGGTAGACACCTGAGTGTGGTAGACACCTGTGTGAGAGGTGTGGTCCAGTGAGTAAGGGGTGCCCATGTGATTGAGGGGGTGCCCTGCAGGGTTTGAGAAGAACAGTGAGAACACCAGAATGGATGCCTGACCCAGTGTCACACATACGTCTCCTTTCTTGGTCCCTACAGAAGGTGGCCACTACAGTTGTCATCTATCTGGGGAGGGTGGTGGCAGCATTTCTCATCCCCACTCTGCTACTGCCCTGGAGCAGAGCTTGGTTGGAGAAGCCTGGGAAGCCCGGTGGGCTGCAAGAGGCAGTGTAGCAGGGCACAGATTGAGAGGTGGCAGGGCCTGCGTGGGGTAAAGGACCCAGGATGATTGCAGAGTGGCAAGAGGTGGGGTGACTTCTCCCAAGGGATGCTCTGAGTGTCCCATGTAGGAGAGGCGCTACAGCCCCTTCTATTGGGAGGATGGAGTCGGGGGTGGAGAGGGGTAGTGGCACTCGAGTCCCTCCTGTTGGAAGGATGAACTGGGGTGCACCTGGAGCCCCGCAGCTGCAGCCTCTGGGAGGGGCGTGGCACCTAGAGTCCCTGTTTTGGAGGGATGCAGCTGGGGGGCGGGGGTAAGGATCCCACCCGGAGTCCCGCAGCTGCAGCCCCTCTTCCCTGTAGGGAACACCTCGGATCCGTCCAAGAAGAGCTACGTGGTGCAGTGGCTGTCGCGGCCCGAGTCCGACCCGCCGGCGCAGAAGATCGCGTCAAGTAACCGACCCGTTTATAACCCCGCCTCTGCCCTCCAGTGCATGCCCTGCGCCCTGTGGAGCTTGCCCTGGGCGCCCCTCCTCTCTCTCTATGGAAAGCTCCCCTGACTCCGGGCGCTCGCTCGCGGTTCAGTCTTTCTCCGGGCTCCGTGCTCGGCGTCTCCTTCGGAGCTGGCGCCGCCTAGCGGCGAGCGAGGCCGGCCTCGGGGAGGCCCGGCCGGGGGCACTGGCCTCTTGTTAGGGGGGGCCGGGACCTGGTTGGCGATGGCTTGTAAAGGGGCAAAGATCTGTCGTGGTGCTGGAGGGGCCGGAGGCCACAGTGCGAACGTGACCACTTGGCCATGGTGACCGCTTCGCGGGGCCACATCCCTCCAGGCTGAAGCTGCAGGTCCGAGTCCGAGAGGACCCCCCCCCCGCCCCGTCCCCTTTCAAATGCCGCCCACTAGCAAGGCGAGGTTACAGGGGTCTCTGGGGCGTGCGTTTGTGTGTGTGTGTGTGTGTGTGTGTGTGTCGCCTTGCTAGGTGACCGGACCCTCCCCCCACAAGTTTCCGGGGTGTCAGGGGCTTCCCGGCTGCCACTGCTGCTGCTGCTGCTACTGACCCTTTGCTGAGTGTGTCCTAACTCGTGACTGGCCCGCTTCCGTCGGCCTTTGCATCCAACCTACGCAGCCCTTGACCCCTGTCCCCTGTTTTCTCAGGGGTCTGGTCAATAAGGAGGAGGCAGAGGGATATGTCCCTCCATTGGGACACTGGGGACACCACCACTTCCATTCTCTGTCCACTTGCTCCAATGGCCTTTTCTCATCGTGTGCAAATGACCCCGTCCAGAGGGTTGAGAGAATGAGAGAGATTGATTGGTTGATGATTGACTGTCTGATATGGATGTGCCTCACCTGCCAGTATGAACAACTACAGAATTACCTCAATTTTTATTGCTTTTTTGCTTCGAAAAACTATGTAGAAAATGCCTTAAAGTTGAAAGGTAACAGAATTGGCTGCTAACTCCAGCCTCCGAGGGGGAACGTGGTCCAGGTAGGAGGCAGGCACTGGAGGTCTAGGGAGAGCCGGTCCAGTTCACCCACTTTTCGCCAAGGGCAAGGTTTCCAGATCCAGCCGGCCTTGCTCCTTCCCCAAGCACTGTGTGTGGAGACTTCAGCACACTTGCTCCATCCATCCTTGAGAAAATGGGTCCCCTAACAATGCCCACCTGGCCAGTTGGCGCTGACTGTTGCATGGAGACCCCAGAGGGGGCTCCAACAGCGCGGCCTTACACCCAGAGGGTGACGCACCTGGGCCCTTAGCGGTGATCAATGTAGCATTCCCGCCCTTGCACCCCCAGCCACCTCCATCTGTTAATATGGCAGCCCCCCTGGACCATGCAGCCTCCTCCTCCCTCTCCTCCTCCTCCGGCACTAATTACTGTTATGTGAATAATCGGTGTGTAACTTCCTACTAATCCTCACGACTGTTAACTTCCAACTTTGACGAGGCAATGTGAGTGACCTTCGTGGCTGCAGAAGGCACAATACGGTCCTGAGCGTTGTGCTCTCTGTCTATATGCACTTTGGTTTATCAGGGATATTTTATTAGTGTTTTGTATGTATTTAATGACGTATTATATCGGTTCCATTGTCGTTGTTGCTTTTCTGAGTTTTTTTTGTTTTTTTTTTTTAATGAGACAATATTAGCTTGTGCCAAAGTGACTGTGAAAATGACCTTTTATTCTTAACTAATGATGGAACGACCTCCTGTCATGCATCCCACAAATAAACTCAATAAAAGTTCAGTGAAACTGGGTGCTTGAGCTCAGCAAGCTAATGGCTCATTCTCGTCACCTTCAGGGCGGGCACCGCCAGGAGCTGTGCGGCTCATTGCTGTCACATGGATTACTGGTTTCTGATTTGAATGACCTCACCGACTCCCTTCCCCTAGCCAGCACAGATATCTTAGGGCCTGTCTGCCACTAAGACACATACCAAGGCATTTTTCAAAGTAGGACGACAAGGCTGTCAAAACTCAATCCAATTTTCAGTGATCAGCGCTAAGAGAATGTCTAGCTTCACTGCGCCTAGGTGGCGGTCTCGAAGTCAGGAAGAGGATCCAGGGTAGCTTTCGCCCCTTCTTGGATCACAGCATATGGCATGGGAACGTAAGGTTCAGGTGTCACCTATCCCGAGCCACCATCATATCTCAACCTTGAACTACCTGTTCAGCGGGAGAGGTGCCCATCTGGCTGTGGGCGGGGGCCTGGGCCAGCCAAGGAGATAGGGCAGTGGTGGCTCTCTCTGGGCACCCAGCCTGTATGTAGTTACTAGCATGTAAGCATGAATGTGTGCCTGTGTGCACAGTCCTGCCTGCCTGTGCCTTTCAAGTTCTGCCCTTAGTAGCCACAGGGCCTGTGTGTCCCCTCACGTTGCTGACCAGGACCAGGCAGTGGGTCAGTGTTCGAGAGGGACTCCTGACCTGGGGCCTTTGCTGCCTGTCCTGCTGTGTCCTACAGGTAGGATCTCTCTCCTTCCTTCCTTTCTTTCTTTTTTTGTTGTTGGATTTTTGGTTTGTTTGTTTTGGGGAAGTTGAACTCAGGGTCTTGTACTTGCTAAGCAGGCACTGAACCACTCCTCCAGGTTTGTTTGTTTGGTGGAGGTGTGGTTGAGCTCAGGGCCTTGTACTTGCTAGGCAGGCATTCCTCCGTCCCCCTTTGCTTTACTTTTTTTTTTTTTTTTTTAAATAAAGTCTTGATTTTATGCCCAGGCTGATATGAACCACTGTCCTCCTATTTCGACTTTTCTTATAGCTGGATGACAGGTGCGTACCACCAAGACCAGCTTTTATTGGTTGAGATAGAATCTTGTTTGCCCAGGCTAGCATAGAACCCATCTCTGCCTCCCAAACAGCTAAGATTATAGGTGTGAGCCACCACACCTAGCTTCTCCTCCCGTTCCTGTGCCAGAGATCAGGAAGAAAGAGCAGGAGGTCATGAGAAAGAATGACCCAGCATCTTGGAGGTGGGATTTGCTTCAGGGCCCTGGGCCAGGCCCCAGCTCCAGGGAAGTCACAGTAGCTATGACTGAGTCCAGTTGCCTAGAGCTCTCTGGTCTTTCGTAAAAGTAATCATAGCTCAAAGGAGACAGGAGCACCAAGGACAGTGGTGTCCTACTCCCCAGAAATGTCTCTGTAGTACAAGTCACCTCTAAAGGGGCCTCAGGTTAGAGCTGGGAGCCTGACTCCCAAAGGCTCACTGGGGTGCTGTGTGCCCGGGGGACATCCAAGGCACATGGAGGGAAGGGGTGCCACTCCGTTTTGAAACTATTTTCATGGCCTTTCCAGTGCTGAAATGAGGGCATGAACTCATCACACCTCTATGGAGCAAAATAAGTGAAGTGTTCTCCATAGAGTTTTCCAGAGCTGGAAGATAGGAGGTGATTTATATGGCTCACAAACATGGCGTACACACTGCCCCCACAGCAGTCCCTTCTAGTTCTCTTTAACCTTGATGTCAACCTCAGGGAGAAAGTCTCCATTTGTACCAACTCTAGCCTCTCACACCTTTCTTTCTTCCAACTCAATGCCTTGCAGGAGAGTGGCTCCTTAAGAGTTTCTTGAATTAGAATTTGGCTTTAAAATTGACTTAACAGGACTTAAAATTGTTATTTGTACCCATGAACCTTTATCTACCATACTTGCCTTCTATAATAGTGGTATGGATGTTTTCTCCTAAAATAAATGTTAAGTTTAAAGAGGAGATAAATAAAAGCAGACTGCTAAGCAAGTATTAATCCAGATGGCCTTCAGCGAAAGCCAAGGCTGTGGGAGGGGCACACAGATGATGACGTGTATAAAAATGTGGTTTTCCTCAATGGTTTAATTTTCATTCACTAGAAGCTAGTAGGTCTCACTAGTTACTTGCTACTGGAAATGGTAGAAGATCAAGTATTATAAACCAAAATTATTATCTTTGCCACTCAGTGCCTCAGGACACATCGCTCAGCCCTTTGGAGGTGTAATTTGGTTTTAGGACCTCCGTAGATGTTCAGTCTCTTATATAAAAAGGCATAGCTTTATATAAAAAGGTGGCGTGGCTGGAATAGAGCTGCCTAATAAGCTCAAGGTCTTAAGTTCAAGAAAAAGGAGGGTGTATAGTATTTACATAAAACCCAAGTCCATCCTACATATACCTTAAATCATTTCTAGATGATGGGTAACACCTACTACCGTGTAAATGCTGCGTACCTAGTCATGATACTGCATTGTTTAGGACAAAGAAAAAACTCTGTGCATGTTTGGTACAAATGCATTGTTTTGCCAAATATTTTTGATCTGTGGTTGGTTGGCTCCAAGGATGTAGAATCTGTGGCTGTGAAGTGGCAACTATGTTTTCAAATTTTCTGAGTTGGTATGAGCATGACCAAGCAGTTGACCATGGCCTTTTCAGTTATTTATTCACTCGTTGACTTATTTTACTTGGCAACAACTGAGAGCAGTGCTGTTGCCCAGAGAGTGTTAAATGGAAATCAGACATGGAAGTCCAATATGTAAACCAGGTAATGGAGAGGTGTCCTACAGAAGGAAGCCCAGTCCTCGGCTATCTATTTACACAGTGGGTGTTTGCTGAGTGCTTTCTCTTTGTCAAGCCCTAATCCAGGTGAGCCCTTGACGAGGGCTCAGCCAACTTTTCCTACAACCAGCCAGATAGTAAATATTTTAGGCATTGGATCCTGGAAGGTCTGTATCACAACTAAACACTACTGTTGTACAGGGAGAGCATCCAAAGACAATAAATGAATGGTGTGTGTCTGGGTTTCAATAAAACTTTTTTGATAAAATCAAAAATGGACAGATTGGTCCATGACCATAGCTTCTGACTCTCATAACAGCTGTATAACCAGCTCTTATAGAAAGTCCCCCTGTGTCCCCAGGAGTACTATGATAATTGTTTTTTTCATGCTGAGAGGGGAGAGAACTGAATGAGGGTGGGACAAGGGGCAGGCCAGACTCTATCCCTCTTCCTCAACTTCAAACAGGGCAGTTCTGATTTATTCATTTCTTGTACTGGAATCTATGTAACATCTGTACATACTACCAGTTTTAAAATCCTGAAGGCCTCATCCCAGGTCCTTCTGACTTGGTTCTGGGGTGGTCCCTTAGGCTGAGCTCATCTGCCTTCCCTTCCTGGGTTTTTCCTGAAGTGCTGATTTGTTTTATGATCCTCATTGGGAAGCTGTAGCCAATTCTGTGTCCTCCTTATTTTGGCCACTTGGAAGTACATTGCTGAGTGGGTCTGTCTCTGGTGGTCTGTGCCCCACTGTTCTTCTTGCCTATATCTTTGTGGATTTAAAGACCATATGTTCTCCTTTGGGGCTTCCTCAGTTATTCGCATCTATCCTTTTCAGATTTATACAGGTGTGCATTCTTGAGTCATTGAGTTTGGCTTTGGGGTAGGGTGGGACTGTGTCTCCCTATAGCTCAATCTGACCATGGGGACTCTCAGAATGAGAGTCCTTCCCTTCCCTCTCTCTCCCTTCTTCCTTTCTTTAACTGAGTGATGAGATCATCTGAGGAGCATGAGGGGAAGGAAGCACATATCTGAGACTTGTGTGAGAAATATCTGAAGTCGTCACTGTGGAGAGAGAAAGGTGGCTGAGCAGAAAACCATAGCGGGAAGAGCTGAGCCCATTGAGCTCAGAGATCAAGAATTTATGCTGGATCAAATATCCCCGTCGTATGACTTGTTCTTTATAATTGAATGTGTTTTGCAAATCATCTCAAGTTTTGTGCCTTGGAATGAGGTGGTAGAGGACAAGGAAGGGAGGATGACATTTTAGGAAGAGAGAGGGACAGCAAGGGGAATGATGGTGCTGAATTAACTGATCTGGAAGCAGAGTTGGGGATGGATCAAAGAGAAGGCACCCATGCAGAGAGAGAGAGCGAGCGATGCTCTGGAGTCAGGGCCCTGTGTGCCAGCTAGACCATGGACCATCAGTTTCCTGGGTAGGAAGGAATGAGTACATGCTGGGCAGAGGACTAGCCTCATGAGAAGGCATTTGGATTTCTTGGGAGACTGCCAGAAGCTCAGTGTAGCAGAGTAGTAGGTGGATAGAGCAGGGGCAAGCCAGGATGCCACTGGGTAAGTTGAGGCAAACATACAAAAGCCCATGCAAATTTGAGTGGTGTTTCAGTTTTCATTAGGCACTGTTCAGAAACACTTGGGGAATGTGAGTAAGAGAGTGTAGCAGGGCATGGCGAGGCTCTGGGATTGCCATGTTGAGTTTTAGGAATTGGCTCTTTTAGGTTTAATTTTGCTATAGTTAGTACTTATGAATTATTGTAAGGTCAAACCCTGCCACAGATTGCTTTGGGGTTACCACGGGGTTGTCAAGTGTGAAGATCCCAACCAAGGCCCATTCTTGAAGTTAAGCACTGAAATCACTCTCTAAGAACAAACATCTCAAGGTCTGAGACACACTGAAAAATCTAGATTCAGCTGGGGCTTGCTTGCAGGAGGGGCGCATCGCTCACAGCTTGTGCGACAGCACCCTGGGGTGGGTGCCTGTGGAAGCTGCCTTTCTCGGGAGGCTTGGACACTACCACCACACGGACTCCCCCTATGAGCTCACTTCTCTGCGCTGTCTCTGATCTGTCTCATATGCTTCCTTCAGCAAGCTGCACCTGTGGGAGACCAAAGTCCCCCTTACCTTGTCCTCTGGTTATTTGTCCCACTTTTCTCTTTCAGAGGGCCACTGCCAAAGCGACAAGTCAATGTTCTGTAGGATGGAAGTCTTGTCTCGCTATTGCTCCATCCCAAGCTACAACAAACTCTGCTGCAAGTCATGCAATCTGCAAAACAACCTTACCAACACTGACGATGACGGGATGGAGCCGCCACCCGGGAAACACAATGACATCGACGTGTTCATGCCCACGCTCCCAGGGCCTACTCCGGCTACACAGGTGCAGCCTTCACCAGGTCCCCCACTGGAGGTCCCTCTCAATGCCTCCAGCACCAATGCCACTGAGGACCACCCAGAAACCAATGCCGTAGATATCCCCTACAAGATCCATGGCCTGGATGACGAAGTTCAACCACCCAACCTAATTCCTCGTCGACCAAGCCCATATGAAAAGACCAGGAACCAAAGAATCCAGGAGCTCATTGATGCCATGCGGAAGAAAGAGTCACTCGGAAAGTCCTAATAAAATGGAAAGATAGCATCAGTAGCATTTCTGTCCTTGCTTATAGAGATATTCCATGGGATCACAAATCCTGTGTCGTTGGAGATGATGCCAAAATTCCTGATTCCAAAAAGTTTCAAGAAAAGAAAGAGGGGGAATGACATTAGAAACACACATGTGTAGGTGTGAGCAAGACACCAGGAATGACCTAAGTCCTGCAGTAGTGTTGGGTGTGGAGTGGACAGGAATGCAGAGGTTCTACAAGCTGCATCAGTGAAGGGAGGCTGAGGGACAACTCCAACAAAAGCAAGTTTGCCCCAAGTTGCTAAGCAGTGCTTGGAACTCTTTCTTTCCTTGGTGATGTCACACATTTCCTAAGAGTCCCCAGGCCAAGCCATAGCCCCCTGGGGACTGTTAGGAGACATGGTGACTTATTTCATGACTGACCAGGTGCCCGATGAGTACAGTGGGGTGGAGGTTATGAACCCCAATGTCTTCGAGGGCCAGGCAGGTGACAAGAATGAGTATAGTAGCTAGTTGGGGACTGTGACCAAGCTGATGGCCACACCCATCAAGAGCTGATCGTGAGCTTCCTTCAATAGCTCAGCTGGTAGAGCAGAGAACTGTAGAAGAGCTGATCGTGGGCTCCGTCCATGGTTGCCAGGGTGAAATCTTTCTTCTCCACAGACAGGGAGGTTTTTCAGAAGTCTAGGTTTTCTTGTGAAAACGCTATCTTTAAAGGTCAACCCTTAGTTTTTCCTAGGAACCTGGGAGTCTCTTACGTTCTAGATCCACCAGGCTATGGCTTTTGGCCTCAGGTTCAATCATTAATCATTAATTAAGGACTTAGGAAAAGTCACCTGACCTATTTGGTGCTCACGTTGTACTGTGTTTGACTCTCAGTGGAGTTTGGGCTGTGCGGCTGTCTAATTCTTTCCTGGAAAATGACGAGAGTCCCGTATCTGGGGACATAAAGACAGATCCAAACAGGCCAACACAGCAGGAAGACAGTCTGTCTCCCTCTTCTCCACTAACCCTGGCCTTGCTCACTGGCCCCCAGGCTCTTAGGGGAAGTGCCCCAGCATTGTCCTCTGGTCCCCTTGGTCCCAGACCCCATGCCTCCCCAGAGAGCCTCTGCCCCTCCCGTAGGTGCATTAGAAGACTGAGGGAGCCACGTGCTCTGAATGGACGATCAGTGAGGGTTCCAGACCGGGGTCTCCCTTCCCAAGGTAGGAGTGCCGTCACCAGAGTGTGAGATGCGGCTTTGCTCCTGAGGCCACTTAACTTCAGAGGACAGGCTTCCTCTGATTGGCCCTGTCCTGCCCCACACCTCCATCCCTCAGAAGTCCTCTACCCCAGCAGTGACCCCAGAGTTGTGGAGGCACAGCAGGAGGTGGAAGGCCTGCTTCATCTTCTGCTCTTTTGGAACTTAACTCCTATCCTTGGCAGAAAGGGCATTTGGTGAGCCAGATGTGAGTGAGAGGGAAGTAAGAGGAGGGAGAGGTGAGTGGGGGATGGGAGGGCACAATCTTCGCCCCTCACTACACTGGTATTCTGTGACCCGCAGCTCCTTAGCCAGGCCTAGCCAGATGCATAATTCTGAGGCTTTCCATGTGCAGGGAAGTTAGGGGCTTTGTATTCTCTCCAGTCATGGGCCTTCAAGGCCTCTTTCTTGTGGACTCATACAGATGAGGGTACCAAGACTTGGAGTGATCACAGAATGGCTTCTTGCTTTGGTATTTCGAGGTGCTAAAGGACGTTTGTCTGAATCTGCGTGTGTGAGCATGAGTGTGGACAGTAAGGAACAGATAAGCGTAGAGACCAGTAGGACGGTTCTGGGACCGTGCTTACCTTTCCTCTGGGAGGTAGCCGGCCTCCCTCGGCCTCCTCCCTCTACCACTGCTTTCCACACACACCCCTAATGTTCCATGTCCTGGTGTCCCCCGAAGAACCAAACTGGAGAAGATGTTTTCAGTGTCCGTCCCAGCTCGTGGCTGAGGACAGTTCTGCAATCCTGCCTGTCTGTGGGTAGGAAGTGGATCCCGTGGCCTGCCCTTGTTTGCTGAACCCTGGGCAGCTGGTGTCATTCATGGGCTGAAGAACATGAGAGACATTCGGGACTAATGATGGCCAGAGTATTACTTAGTTTCCCCCGTCTAGGGGGTGGGGGTGGAACGCTCCACCCCCACATCCCAGCAAAGCAGGGATCACAAGACACCCCAGGTGGGGTATTCTCCAGGTTCCTGTTCTGTGCCTGAGGGAGAAAGCCGCCCTCAGAAACCGAAGTCCCACCTGGCAATTGCCCCACAAGCCACTCTCAGTGCCTTGGGCCACAGAGCCAGAGTCCTCTCCGGCAGTGATGCTCAGACATCTCTGCCCCAGGATCACAGTATTCACCGGGCTCCAACTGCCCGAAGTGCAGGACCACGTGGAGAGCTGGCTTGGGGTCATCATCAGCTTCCCCTGCCAGCTGTGTTCCCTGCATCCCCAGGGGGGCAGGTGGATGTCTTCTGGCTGAAGTCTTCAACGTCATGTTGACACTCACGCTGCCCTGTGTTACCCAGAAAACCTAAAGTACCCAAGAATCACTTCTCATTCTTGGAGAGATTAGTGCTAGATTTTGAGGATCTAGCTCTCTGACTTACTCCTTTTGGAAAACCCATGGAATCTCATGTATAAGCCTTTCATTTGTATTTTAAAGGTTTTTTTTTTGTCTATTTTGAGTATATAAATGGTGCTTAATAGTGATGTCTATGTCAGATGAAACGTTACGATTTATTTACTCCCCTCTGACCACATGGAACCACCAAGGTGCTGAACTTAACTCACAGAATTTATCTTATTGATAAGAGCTATCAATATTTTTATTCTGTATAGCAAAATTTGACTTTTATAACTTATTAAAGTTAAAGCGACTGTGTTTTTGCAAATCATTACTGTGTGTTATCTTGACTCCTTTATTCTGCACCTCCAGCCTACATCTGGGCAGAAGGATGTGTCACCTTCACAAGCCAACCTTATAAGGTCCCCCGTCTCCTTGGGGGTGGGGGCACCAAGCAGTGCTGAGTTAGTCAGCTACTCAAGTCAGAACCCAGTGGGGACAAGAGACACTCTTTCCCAGCCCCCCATGGAGTTAGCACCAAGGAACATAACTTAGCCAAGAGCCCCCAGCCAAACCTTCCTTACAACCCTTCCTGTCCTGTGATTACAGTTGCCAGAAAAAAAAAATACGAGATGTAGAGTTATATTTGAATTTCACAGAAAAAAAATGAGCTTTATAGTATAAAAAGTGAGACTACACTAAAAAATCATTTGTGGCTTTTCTGGAACCCAATCTTAACTGAGTCTTGGGTTTTTACTTACCAAATTTGTTCATCCAACCTGTGCTCACCATTACACTTTTAAAGACAGCTCCATTCTCTCTGCTATCTTGGATATCAGCAGGCACTAGGGACAAGAAGCATTACAGGCAGACTTTCACATAGCACCTATTCTTGCAAGTATTCCACAGGCACTTTTAAAGAAATTGTGCTGGGCGTGGTGACTCATTCCTGTAATCCTAGATATTTGGGAGGTGGAGATTGGGAGGATCACAGCTCAAGGACAGTCCCCAGGCAAAAATTTAGGGAGACCTCATCTCAACAAATAAGCCAGATGTGGTGCACACCTGTGATCCTAGCCACATGGATTATGTAAGTAGGAAGATCATGGTCAGAGGCCAGCTGTGGGCAAAAATGAAAATCTACCTGAAAAATAACTAAAGCAAAAAAGGGCTGGGGCATGGCTCAAGTGATATGCCTTGCAAGGCCCTGAGTTCAAACCTCAGTACCTCCAAAAAATGTAGTCGTCAGTTATTGGGGACAGCACACCATGCATGCCCCTGATATCAAATTTGTTAAATTGTTATTCAAGTACTCTCTGTCTTCAGAATGTCTGTTCTGCCAACTTGACAGAAAGCTTTTTAATAGTGCCCACGGACTGTGGCCTCACTGACCCTTCTATAACAACTGCAGTTGTAGCAAAAATTTCCCTTCTTTTATAAAAAAATAAGCTGCTTTACTATTGGGGGGTCACGCTTAGAGGACCATACACATGTCTAGTTGTTATTATCTTTTTGGTGACATCACCCTTTTATCTTTGGGAATTGATCAATTTTATTTCCAGAAATAACTTATCTTGACATCCTCCTGCTGTCAGAGGCTGCGGATCAGGGAGATAACACTTCTACCCCTGAACTGTCAAATCTTCCACGTCCTATATGTTCTGCTTGCACTCTGTAAATCTATAATTTTTAATACATCTAGCTCATTTTGATCAGACCATTTAGCCCAATCCAATCAACTCCATCTCTGACACCAACATCCTCTGCCTTCCTCCTGTGCTCCCTGTCCTGACTTCTGGGTTCTTTTCTCTACTTCTTGTCTTCTTTTGGGTCGGGTGTTTTTCCCCATCTCATTTTAACCCTTTGGGAGTTTGATGCCAAGTAGAACTTTGATGTTGATGAGCGTTTGAGAAATTTCACCATGTGCTCTTGACCTACAGAAACCAGCCCTCTTTAAACAATGCAAATTCTTAAACCAGTGCTCTCAAACTATCAATTTTCACTTTGCCTCAGACTAATAAAATTAAAAGGAATTAATAGACACATGAAATAATGCAACGACATACAAACTACAAATCAGTTTTAAAACAGTTTTGAGGTATAATTGACATACAATAGGGTGCACATATTTACGAGTAAATTTTGACAAGTTCTGAAACCTGTAGTAAATGGGGAAACATCACCACATTCAAGACAGAGAACATATCCAGCAGCTCCCCCAAGTGTCTCTCTTGGCAACCCCGCTCTCATCCCCAGACAGCCACTGGCCTCCTTTGCATCACTAGCATTAATTTTCACTTTCTAGAGTTTCCTAACAATGGAATTGAATAGTCTCTAGTCTGCTGGAGCCTTGGGTTTAGATTGGAATGTGTCACTGAATACGTCAGCAGCTCATTTTCTTCATTACCCAGTAGTAATCCACTGGATAGACGTTGTGGTTTGTTCATTCATTCACCAGCCATTGGACATTCAGGCTGCCTCTGCGTTTCACTTCTTACAAAGACAGACCTGTGGACATCTCTATAGGTGTTTGCACAGCGTGTGATTTCCTTGGGCAAAGACCTAGCAGTAAAATGGCGAGACAGTATTGTAAGTACATGTTTAACTTTTCAGGACCTCTCAGATACTTTCCTTGTGTCATTTCATGCTCCCATCAGCAACATGTGAGAGTTTCAGGTCATCCTGTTGTCACTGGCACTTGACACTGTCAGTCTTCCTATGTCAGTCATTCCTACAGACATGCAATGGTTTCTGGCTGGAGTTTCCATTTGCATTGCATTATTATTATTATTATTATTATTATTATTATTATTATATTATCAAGGGCCTGGGGAGGCATCTGTCAAATC